GTAACTTATTGCAATATTTTGCAAATGTATAATGTATTGAATTTCTAGTTCATATTGCTTTGTACGAAGATCACAAAAATTCAAATGGGATTTTCTAATAAATATCTCTTTTCAATTCATTTCTATCTTCCCCTAATGTTGAAAAATATGATTTTTCAAAATGACATTCTTTAAATCTTGTAGTGAATAAATCACCCGTCATAGATTCAAGATATTTTATAATTAAGTGTAATCCATATCCGACATAAATGTCCAATCTACATTATGGACTCATTTTTGTACGTTTAAGGGGTGAAATAGGAATATAAACAGCACCAAAAATACATAGATGAGATATATTTGGTTCGTGACCAAATACTACTTGAATATGGGAATAGCTATGATAGTTTGTCGGCGTCATTCTTATAAGTGTTCCTGCATGTAAGATTGCATGTCTCCAAGCTGAAACGGGCAACATAGACCTCATCAATAATGATCTAAAAATCAATTGCAATATTATAATAAATGATTCTTCCAGACCATTTTGTGTATGAACATGAGCAACTGAGTGTTCTACATTAATCCCAATCGACATGCAATAATCATCAATTGCATTCGATGAATATTCACCAGCATTATCCAGACGTATAGCTTTAATTGGATTATCGGAAAATTGTGCCCGTAATTTAATAATTTGGGAAAGTAATCTCGCAAATGTCATATTGTAAGTAGATAATAAACAGACATGGGACATCTGATAGATGCATCAATAAGCACCATAAAATATTTAAATGACTCACATGATTGGTCTATCGGTCTACATAAATCCCCGTGTATTCTTTTTAAACATGTAGATGATTCAATACATATTTTAGTTGGCGATGATCTGGTTATCAAATTTTTCCTGAGTACAGGCAACACAAGTTAACTCATTTGAGTTTAATATTTTTTTACCTTTTAATGAATGAGTATGCGAATTCTCAATTATTCGTCTCATCATAATACTTCTAGGATGTCAAAGACGATCATGCCATATTTGAAAATTGGTAGTCTTTTGATATACCGTGAAGTGTGTTTCAACAACACGTAATGTGGCATAATATAAACTAGTAGAGAGTGAGGGTAATCTTTCAATGATGCAATTCTTTTATCAATGATATTGGTGATCAACAAGAATTCACCATCGATATCACTTATAGTCAGAATGTGATAACTATTTTTTCGAATGCATTAAAGTTCAGTACATTTCTTCTAGCTTTAGTGACCAACAGTGCATACTATATCACAATTTTCGTCCCTGCGAGAGGGAATCTAATGGATTCTCTAGAGCCTTCGATTTATTCCGCATTACCACTTATTGTAATTGACATTCATTTTTTCTCTTTTCAAATGGTAAAAATATTTTTCATATTTCAATATAGTATGCGTCATTGCATTGTCAATGAAACACATATTAGCATCATTTTGATTGGCATCTATTTCATCTTAAATATAAATAAATGCAGTATTAATAAAAGCAAATATTTTTATTAAAAAATACAATACAATAAGGTACAAGCGATAATTTCAAAGATTACAAAATATGAAATGACATAATGTAAAATGACATAATATGTTTATCACTGGGGGTTTGCTGGATCTACGAAAAAATTCGCTATGTCAAGATGTGTTGTGTCGTAATCCGGAAGATCATCATCGGGGTCGTCGTCATTATCAACGTGATTAATCTCGATCTCATTTCCCTTCTTCTGCAGTGAGACTTGATAAAGATCAGTTAGGTGTTTGGTTATTCTGCAGGTATTGGACTATTGGCCCAACGACCTTCAATGCCACACTGATGACAAATGTTGATTAGTCTATTTCCCTGTTTAGCCTTTTCGGCTACATCCCCATATTGGGGTCTATTATGCTTCTCGTTGATGTCAAAACTATGGTGATTGTAAGGGGTATATCGACCACGTTGACTCTCATGACGGCGACCATGTCCACTGCTTTGTTCAGAAAATGTCGCATTCACTTCAGGGAACGGACTAGAACCAGTTGGCCGAGACTGATGATTTTGCATCAATAACTTATCATTTTTTTCAACTAATAAAAGACATGCAATGAGTTGTGAGTATTGTTGAAAAAATTTCTCACGATATTGCTATTGCAGCACCACATTAGAAGCATAGAAGGTAGAGAGAGTCTTTTCCAATTTATCATTCCTAATAACATTTTATCTGCAGAGTTTCAACTGAAATATAATCTGATAGATAGAAAATTGTACTTTGTATCAGCTTTAAAATCCTGCAATCGCAGGTTAAGTCAATCATGTCGGGCTTTCGGGAGAGTGATATTTCAAATGTCCAAAATTCTCCCTTAATTCATTCTACAAATCAAGTTGATCTTTTACCGTCAAATCTTCGGTCGGTAAAAGAATGTCCAAATGGTGACGAATGAAAATAAAAATCTTGGCTCGATCTTGGCTTGTAGTCGTATTTTCACTGATAATTATATGAACAAAGCCCAGAGAAACCAGATGCATTTTTACATTCAGGAATCAAGTAAAAAAATTATTGCGGTGAGAGATAAATGTTTAAAAGAAAAGTTTGCAAGATTTTTCATAGTGTAGAAAATAGATAATATAAATAGTATAAATATAAAATTTACCAAAAATAAAATATGCAAGAGTCTTCATGCTAATATTAGATAGTATAAATATATATATACTATCTGCAGTACTTTCAAAGTATATATAGATATATGTAAATACATATGTAAGTGTATATATATATTATATCTAAGAGTAATTAATGCAAATAAAGGGAACGGGAGAATTGCGCCGAGAGAATAATAAAGTGGGATGTTTGTGAAATAAAATTTATTTTCTTATTCATTAATTACAAAGATTTTTACATATATATATATAGTTGTGAATGTATCCATTATCTGACTACGTGGCAACTTGTTGGATTAAAAGGATCCATAGTGTGTGTTTGTTTGGAGTTTGGATTTTGAGTTAGAATTTGAATAGTAAAAATTTTGAATTTGATAATTATATAATGTTATATAAATAGGTGTTGATGTGATATTTTGAAAGTAAAATTGATTTTTAGTATAATATTAAAAATGAAAAATAGGTGTTTGATTTAATGTTTTTAGAAAAAAAAAATAGAATGAATAATGTATTTAAAATCCAATCATATAAAGTATATACATTTGCGTGTGAGCTACGTGTATATTTCATAACATATTATTATTATTAACTCGAAAAAGTAATTTTGCCGTAGTATTATGTATTGTTTTGTGTGTTGATTTTGAGTTGTTTTTTTTTATGTAAGGTGTATTTAAAAAAAAAAAATCTCTATTTTTTTATAATATACGTAAAAAATAATAATATTTTATTAATTAATAAAAATATATAAAAAATTATAGTTATATTTTTATTCTGATAAGTACAATAGATATTTTAAATAAGACAGATAATAATGTAAAATTGTTAAATTTTTTTAAATAAATAGAGTATATAGTATATTTTTTATGTATATATTGTATTTTTTTATAATATAAAATTGAAAAATATATCAAATTTTTTTTTATTTGATAAACTCTTTTCACTACACATACATGCATATACCCTTGTGCAGAAGTTTATTGACAAAAACTATACTCTCCATTCTAACTGAATGTACATTTTATTTCTTTTGCTGTGGATAGAAAGATAATATAGTACTCCTTCCATCCATACAATAGTGTCACATTTATTGACATTTATTGTAGACACGAGAATTTGTAAAATAGTGTCACATTTATTGTAGACACAAGAATTTAAAAGATATTCGAAAACAATTAATAATATATTAGTAAAATTAATTATAATATAATACAAACAATTATAAATTAAAATTAAAATAACTAATTAATCTAATAAAATTTTAAAAAATATATAAATTATAAATTTTAAAATATAATTAAAATATAATATATTTTTCCAAAAAATCAAAGTGACATAATACGAGGAATATACGAAAATAGAAAGTATGACAAGGTAGTGTGACGAAGAGAGTAGTATTTACTAATTAGTAGAAATATAAGATAACTTTAATATTTTTGTCCCTATAAATACAAAATGAATTAACATTTTTTTATAAAAGTTACGATAATTTTGTATTTATATATAATTTTTTTTACTATAATATAAACAAAGTATTCCCTCCGTCTCACTTAATTCGTCCATTCTTTTCATATTTGTCTGTCCCATATAAATTGTTTATTTTTTAAAAAAATATAATTATACACTTTAATTATATTTTAAAATTCATAATTTATAATTTTTTTATTTTAATTAAACTATTTAGTTATCTTAATTTAAATTTATAATTATTTTTACTAATACACTTTTAAGTTATTTATTAATTACATAATATCTAAAACTACGTGTCCCAGCTCAAATAGACAAATTAGCTGGAACGGAGAAAATACCTTTTAAATGGACCGAATAAAAATAATAAAATTAATATACATTAAGGTAAAAGTATATATTTTGAGTTGAAATTATTTTCATAGTTAAATAAAGTAAAAAGTATTTGATAATATAAATTTACCAGTTTAATAAACTTGAAATTGAAATACTTCAGAATTTGGAGAATGCTTATGTTCATAATTGCTCAAAATCAATATTGTATTCATTAGTAGTTAAAAATTTTCAAAATGTTCTACTATTTCTCTTAAAGATAGTTTTTTTTTTTTTTCAATCAATCAAAAATATTGATAATTACAATAATTTTACCTGTCATTTTTGTCATATCAACTCACACCTCATGTCACCTGCTACACATGATTCGTTGAACTTAGTTTGCAAACTATTAAGTTCGATCAAAATTTACCACTTTCGGTAGCGGTAAAAAAGAAAAAAGTCCAATTATGAAACGCGTATTGCAATCAGTTATTAGCCAAACACTTGAATAATAAAATTAAAGCACCACATTCTTAAAATTTCACTTATATACAAAAAAATTAAACCCAAGAATCACTTCACCTAAAAATGAAAAAACAAACTTAAAACATCCAAAATACAAAAAGAAAGATACATAGGGAGCAAAATCGATTGCTATAGCAAATCATTTAAATGAACTATTGGCCATCAGCAAATATTGAGTTTTACAAGAGGGTAATTTTACCATCTGTTGTATCAGCACAATTCCTTACAATGTAATGTACAAACACAATCTCTCATCTATCTTCTCCTCTCCTGCCTACGGCCGGCTCGCCCGACCGATGCCAAAAATCTATTTGCAGACACGATCTCGAACAGTTCCATTCTTCCAGGATTGTCCAAACAGGGAATAGATTAACGAATATCGACAACAATCAACACACGCCACTCCCTTTAACTTCGCCGAGCTCATTAGATCTTTGTTGCCAGGTAAAATATTTTCTCAGCAGATTATAATTCACTCTCTCTGCTGTGACTCACCTGAGGATCCCGAAAGTTTGCCCTTGGCTGCATTGTCTGAATCCGAGAGCTTATCAGTTTTAGTTCTAGCAGGATCGGCCTTCTTGTTTTCTGTAGGAAAATAATGAGGGCAGACGGGAGGTGTCCTTTTAAGACATGTGGGGCACTTAAAGCCGATAATGTTTTCAATTCTATCGTCCGTCAGATTGAAAGCATCGCCATGAAACCAAACTGCAAGTAAATGCACAAGAAAAAAAGAAATCAGCCAGACTGAATTGTGCTCGGCCAAACTATTTGATACACAGCGAGGAAAGTAAATAAATCGGGATTTAACAGCTTTAAAATTATGTGTTCTAAAGCTGGAAAACAAACAAACAATTTGCGAACTTAGTTCAGTTCGGCTTGTTTGAGCTTGTTTGTTAAGCTAAATGAGCCGAACACAAATATAAATTTGAGCTCATTATATTCACGAACGAACTCGAACTGGATCGCGAACGTTCGACAATATTTATCAAAAAAAATAAATTAATAATTTTATATTTAATAAGTAACTATAATTTTACAAATATAATATATTTAATTTGGTTTTTTAAATAAATAAAACAAAAAATTCTCTTAACGAGCAGAGCCTAACACAAACAAAAAAAATTGCTAAACGAGCCGAACTTAAACAAAAATTTCAGTTCGTGTCTCTTAATGAACGAACACGAGCCAAGCTCGAGTCCTTAACGAACCGAACTCAAACATGACAAGCTTGGCTTAGTTCGGCTCATTTACAGCTCTATGTGTTGCTGTAAAGTAGACATTTACGGAAATTAAATCTGTTACCTCCACATAATTCGCAAGCCACGTAGACCAGCTCGGGATTATGCTCCGATTCGGCGCAGAGGTTGCACGTCGGATTATCGTGGTGGTTGTTAGCCTCCCCGGGCAGCAAAAGAAGCATCTTACTCCTGAAATCGACTAGCCTAGCGTCGTTTGGCCTCCTTGATAACCGAACGCCATTCAACCAGAAACTACAAGCAACCGGCGACCTCCTCCTCTTCCAATTATTAATTTTGGGCTTCTTAATCGGGCTCTTTGCAGATTTAGCTTTGCGGCCTCTCTTTCGTCTTTTTACGATCGCACTCTGCAAACAATGCCTGGCGACGCGAGCGGCATTCCGAGAAGAACGCCGCAAAGGTATACCTGTTTGGACTTTTGCTGTCTTCTTATTTGCAAGTCGCTTTCCCGTCCTCTTCCCCTTTCCTTTTCGTTTCCCTTTCGCCTTTGCTTGCTGTAGAGGTTTCGGCTGTGTTGATAAGCTCTTCTTCTGTTTTGCGGATTCGAATTTCGACTTCCTCCCGTCAATTTTCACGATGTTTGCGCTCTGGCATTTATGGCAGGTGTATGTACACTCGGAAGCGATGGATCCAGCGGATTTCTGGGCATGTCTTCGATGGAAAAAGCCTGAAATACATGCCAAATGTTAAATTAACAGCCATTAATCAATAAGTTATTATTTTAAGAAATAAAAATAGCTCAAATATGTAAGTTATCAATTAGCCATGTAAAGAAGATATAAACAAACAAATAACTGCAAGAAGTGCCATACCCATTCCATTAAAACTAGAAAAGAGATCATTTCAAGGAAGAAAGACAAGAAGATAGGAAATGAGGTGTGCAATAATTTAGAACAATTTATAGCACATCGATTTGGATAACATTCGCACTACATTAACGAGTGTAAAGAGTTTATAGGAAAGACTTTAGAAACAAAAAAGAATAATACTTAAGTCACAATCCAACATCAGATAACACAGTTTCTCGGCTGCCAATAATTACGAGGATATAAGATATGCAATATAAATTGGGTTCATACAACATACATTAAATTACATAAAAACCAGAAATCAAATAATGTTAGGGTAAGCGAGATTTTACCTCGACAATGCTGACAGCTCACTGCTTCGCTGCGAATTAAAAAGTGGTGATATAAGTACAGTGTAATGAATTAAATGCTCTGCCGCAACATCAAAAATAATTTCAGGCAAACATGTTCTAACACTTTTCGAAAGTAAAGAAATCGTTTATGTGAGTTTAAGAGGCAAAAGGCAAAAACAACTTTCTCATCAAAGGAATTGTGAGCAAGCACAAATATGTGTAAGACTATATACTTCCCTTCAATTCCATTTTCGAATGTTTCTTAAAAGTAGACAAAAAAAAATTAACTCACTTCCTAAATCCCTGTATTCTAAACAATTTTCATGTATAAAACCATTCTACTTTCCAAAAAATGAAATGTCAAAGCTTCGAAATGGAAAAAAAGTAAAACAAAAAGGAACCCCCCCCCCCCCCCTCCCCCCCAACAAATAAGAGAAAAAAATATTCATTTGGCCATCTACTGTTTCATTTGTTTGGAAAGAAATAAAAAAATAATAATATAATTAAAAACCATTTTATATACCTGATTGGAACATCTTTTTTACAGTGTCCACACTGAAAATTCTCTAATCTTTCGGCTCTCGAGAAAAGATATGAAAAGCCCTTTCTCTTGAAAGGTTTTTTCAACACTCCAATGCTCTCACGAAGTTTTCCAGATTTCACCACATTAGATTTACGAGCAATTCTTTTCTCTTCAAACGATTTCAATAGATGCAACGGCACATGAGTCTCTTCCAACCAATATTTCTTTTTCTTGCTCGATGGATCTTCAACTATCGATCCATGTTTCACAACAACATCAGGAATAAATCTCCTCTTGCCAAAATCCAGAAGGTACTTAATCGTGCCTCCATCTGAGGACTTCCTTCGGATTATAACTTTTTTAAATGATCTGACAGGTTTTTTCGTGTCCTTATCCGTCTTTAAGATAAGGTTGTTATTCCCGATATCAGCCCATTTTAAAGTTGCATCAAGCTCCCTAACCTGCAGATATAAAATATGTATATAAGCATTTCGTTTGCTCATTATCAGTAAATACAACCAAAATTACCATATGTAGACCGATCTAGTAGTTACAGCTACAAATGCAGTACATTCACACAACCATGCCGATTTGAGAAAGAAATTTAGTAAGGTGAAAATAACTATTCATTTAATTGTCTAGATAAAGCAAATAGTGATAATACAAATCACATGGACATGCCTGGAGAGCAAGCTGGTGCACACTTCTTGATGCTTCAACAGCAGCTCTCCATGAAGCGCACTTAGTTCGCTTGGCATATTCTCCACTTTCAGGGTATATAATGCCCGGTATCTTCTTACGCCCACCTATAATAGTTCAATTTGAAACATCATGAGATAAATTGTTCAGGCCATAAGATCACAAGCTTAACATAGGGTTAGAAACAGAAAATATATACCCTGCCGGCCAGCCATGGAAGCCAAACAGTGAGGCAAAACTTTCCAATTGAAGAGCATTCGTGAACCCCTTCCACCCCTCCACCAGAATAAACTAAGCCCAGTTGCAGCATTAGAAGATTGGGAAGTCTCCACCTTGGAAGGGTTCTCTCGTTTCCTGCCCATTCCATTCTTCGAAGACAGTCTTGTTGAACTGCTAACAATGTGACAGGCAGAACCCATTGTAGTAACAGTATCCACTTGTTTTTGCCAATCAGCAGGAATGGCTAGGTGATGCAAGTTCTTCTCCAGCTGGTTCCAAAAAGTCATAATCAGATAACAATATATCATAGAAAACTCGAAGATAAATACGAAAATGAAAATGAGTATGCCAATGACAAATATCTTGCAACGCAGGTAAATTTGCAATCCAGAAGACGACACAAGTATTATTTGTTCCATCTCTTAGGCTGTAGTTTCAGGTCATTCCAAGGTAATAACAATGTCCTTAAAAGGCAGTAACAAAGTGTATCAGAGCATCGACCAGCATTAAGCTTCCTCAGCATTTAAGTTCTTTTCTGTTATTTTCCAGAATCAAATTTTCAATCATTTAACAATAATTCTGACATTTTATCTTTGCATATCAAAATCACTTCTGTGAAACTGTAGCAGATACATATAGAAACAGGGCAATATCTAATAGAAAGGATGCAAAAGAACACATTAACCATTAGAATTGAACATTAACAAGTATTCACGATTACAGACGCATCATTTAGAGAAACAAACAAATTGACCTAAGAAGCCAATTTAAAATCACAAGGCCGATCTTCATCTTTTATATTTTTATTAAAATGAAAATAAACATAAAAGGCTATAGTTTCATTCAAGTGACTCATACTGCAGTCCAAATCCTGGTGATGCTTTTTCTGATCTTCCAAAGCAGTCACTTCTTCTACATATAGTAAAAATCTATTAAAAGGATTACCTATGTAATAATAAACATGGCCACACGCATCCCAATCTATGTGATATGGCAAGACAAATCAACCATGGCTTAACATATGACATGATCTAGTGATTCAGAAGCATAAATTTTCTATTGGAAATCTATATAAATTTTTGGGGATGTTTTAGTTTCCAAGCTAGCTGAATTCCTTGAATTTCGTAGACGTTGTCAGATTGACTAACGATACAATTTCACATCAAAACAATTTAGCAATATAAGAATTTTAATACTGAAAAGGGTATATATATATATATATATATAACGGGATGTAATTTTATTAAGAAAATGCAGTAGTGATAATATTTTACATACCATGAGTAGCGAATTTTTCAAGGAAGCAAGATCAGCCGCTTCAAGAACGCTTCTACGCCAAAGCATTGAAAATTCTTGATTCAACCATGGTCCCAACAGAAGCCCCTGCAGATGATCTTCAATGCAAATAATATGGCACATGACATCGACAAGGTGGTTTTTGATCTTCTTTGCTGACTGGATTCCCAGAACTTCATTTGTGTAGTTTTCTACAGCTGGAATACTATCGTTCATAATGAACAAGCAATCCCGTTCCTCCTCAGGAACTCTGCAATACAAACACCAACCGCATCTTTCTTTCCTCAAGTTCATCTTTGAGGTTTGAATATTTGCCCAAGAAAATTCAGCAGATCTATTTGACACAACTTTCAGCTGTCTGGCGACAATGTCACCCGCAGACCTTGACGTATCTTGAGAGGTCTTATCTGTTGCTTTACATGACCATTCCTCATAAAATGACGATGGTGTTCGAGCAAATTCATAAGAATTGACATAATTAACAGCATTATAAACTTCAGCAGGGACTTCTCTAGAGTATGCAGTGTCCGGTGCATAGCCACAACTTTCTGAACTAAGATTCTTCCCTTTCTCAACATTTACTGAAGTCGGCGCCATATACTGATCAGCATTTGCAAAGGTTCCCTGACCAAGACACTGATCTGATACCTCTAAACATGTTTTTGAACAATTCGGCCCACTTTCCTTTAAGGTATCGCACTGTACGAACATCTGAGAGACTTCGGCTGATCCTTCAGAACTTGCCAACTGATTATTAATCTTTGCTCCAACATCACCAGTCTCCAGCACAACAGCACAGCTCTTTGCATTTTCAGGTTGCGTGTTACAGGAATTAATGGGCACCGTCAACTCATCAACAGATCTATTTTCAGCAATGGCACCATTCTCATTATGAGTTTCCGATGGCACGGAACACATTGGAGGAACTCGGCCTTTTCCAGGTAACATGGACTGTAGAGAGGAGGAACGAGTGTCCGAATCAAGTCTGGCCCCATTAACTCCACGAACTATATTCCAATGCTTACAGATGGCATTTATTATTGTCCCGTATATTAATGGCGATGATTCCAATGCTTCAATAACGTAAGGCACGTCATTTCCATTGTAGGTCCAAGATAAGTATTCATCATTGCACAGCTCCAATCTGCAAGTAAGTGGGCCCAGATCAATACATAATAAAAATAAATTTATCATAAGAACTTAAATCAGCATTTGCTGTAATTATTTTACATGAACATCATAAATTATTACCATGACACATATAATATATATAGAAAATTTACAAGGCATACCCTTTTGGTGGAAAAATAATAAGAATAATCATACAAAACACGGCATTTGGCTTATAAAACAATCATAGCTAATCAAAGAGAATAAATATGGAATCATTGAGGTAGTCTTGATATTAAATCGTTGACCAATTATGACAAACTAGTTAATAGCATCAATATAAAAGAATCACATCTAAGTAGAAATTTGTACAATGTGTTATTGCATTTATAACCTTGAGTGTAAATAAAGAGATATCACTTACAAGATGGAAAATTACTAACTTTAATTGTAAATTTTTTTAAAGATAGTAACATATCAAAGAGATGTTCAATAAAAATACGTAACAAAACAAAGTTCACATGATTCGGCCCATTTAACCAATTGAGTCCATGGATAAATGCCCAAATGGCTTTATAACATTATTATCTCCTAATTTGAGATTAGAAACATTACCTAATGCACATGTCCGTGCATGAATAAATAATGTATCATGTCTTCCAAAATAAAATTAAGAAAATTACTGTGACTAAACAACACAACAAGTATCATGTTAATTTTCAGCACCTGCGGGGCTGAGCATGAAAAGATTTATTTTCGAAAAGAAATTGTATATCTAGGGAGAAAGGTTGATTGGCTGTTTTAATTTAACATGAAAGGGTGACTTTCCATTCTTGGATACTTCGTAATTACATAGTTATATATTCATTTTGAGAGAATAAAGTTACAGATGATATTATTGAATGTGGAACAGATTGTTATCGGTGCCAAAAAAGAAGCTAATGATATGATAAAAAGAAAGAAAAACTGGAAAACACTCAAAACAACATGCTTCACAAGGAAAAATCATAACAATAATAAAATATATATAAATAAAATAGAGATAAAACATGAACATGCGAATATGTGAAATAAATATATGGTCAACATGATAAAAATAAACACCCAGTGCCTAAAATCATATTATTCTCTTAATTTATATTAGAGACCTAAATAGCATTAGGAAATGGATGATATCCAAACTAATGTTTTTCAACAAAGATTGACTTCCAATTAAACAGAAATCTAGAATTGAGTTAATAAAAAACAAGCAGTCGAGAAATTTTTAATGGAAAGCAAGATTCCATATTGAAAGAAAGCCCATTTCAATGTAGATAAATGTCATTTACATCATCTCTACGTCATTTGGAGGTGGGATTACAGCTTAAATTCCACTGGGAACAGATGAAATGAAAATTAAAATGAAAGGAAAGGAAAGTTAACCATGAAATAAATAAATAAATTTGAAAGAGATACTAGATCAAGCCGATTAAAGCTAATCTAGCTCTATCTTCAATTTCTACTATGGTCCTAGAGATATAATAAAGGCCTAAGTCATCTATGTTAGAATCATCAAGAAAGGCCGACTTCAGTACCAAATTATGGAACATGATTACAGTTACAAAAACTATTTCACATTGTACACATCAACAACAAAATAGATTAATAGACATGTAAAGAGCACGTTGCACTTATTTCATCGCACATATCAAAACATTCTCAAAGATATCTTTTGGTATGGCCATGATAGAACAGATTCTCCATTCAAACCACGTTGATTTTTATAGAAAAGTTTTTGCACTTACTTATATTAGGAATAAGATATACTGTCTAAAATTCACTGCCTTTTGACCATGGGAAGCAATTTCCAAAACTGTAAATGTAGAAAATATAAAAATAAAAATGAAAACAGAACACTAGCCCAATCCACAAAGTTAAATATGTTCTTATGCTACAAATTATGCAATTATCAAATAACTTAAAAACTTGGATAACTTTTTTAAAAGGAACTTACACCAACAGATAACTACAGCTGCTGTAATAAACTCGCCCGCACGGATCAACACCCAAGCATTGAGCCCCTCGAGCAGACTTCCTGACTCTCAGCCCAGGATTATCCTTCTCGATCGAGCATTCAGGGCAAAACCATTCACCCTCAGGCAGCTGGCTGCTGACAACCCCCACACACCTTGAATGGAAAGCCGCTGGACAGCCATCACAGCATATTAAGTTCCCATCCATTTTACAGAGTGAACACTCGTCGCTGTTCCAATCCAAAGGATCTTCAGCGTCCTCTTCTGTAATGCAGGAACTGCTAGCAGCATCCATAGCAGCCTTTTTCCTCTTCAAGGTGTCGAATTTTGTGCTGCGCTCAGCCCGTTGATCCGTTGCAGCCATTCTTCTGTTGAGTTCTGACCTAAATACTTCTGCTTCAAGAACATCATCACAGAGATGACGCAGAATCTCAACCTTGGCTGACACTGGCAGCTTGTAGTAGTCATCGTAGAAAAGCTTCAAATTACAAGCGCCGATATCAGGTACATGTCCTGGGTTGTGCAATAAATGGTACTCGACCAGGAACACCGGCCATGTAATCAAATCGAGAAAGTCCCAATTGAGAGACCTGAATCAAAATATGATATAGAATATAATAAGTATTGAACATCAAAATGGAATTTAAATGTATAATTATTGAACTAGAGTGAACTTAATACCTGAGACAATTTGATGCCGATGCAGAGCCTTCTTCCGAAAGTGACTCCAGATGTTTCCTTATTGTCCGAAGGAGGGATAGATGAATGGAGTCGAATAATAATGTCGAATCACTGGATTTCAGAGATATAACAAAATCATCCAGTCCAAAGGGGCTTAGAAATAATGAAGTGCTAAATGACCTCAAGAATGAATAAGCCGAAAAGACATCCAGCATAGATACCCCATTGATATCAAGATCGCAGGATGAAGGAGGCAAATCCACCTTCGGGGGATCCATAGCACAATCAATGGCTTTTCTACGAGCTGGAGCCATAACCTTCTCATCAGACACCACGCTAATTGCAGGAGACGACAACTGATGATTATTACCATCTCCTAACTGTAGAGGAACTAGATCTGGTTCAGAAGATGCAGCTATTTTTGCTCTTCGGCTACTCCTTCTCAGCCCCGTCTCTGGTGTGGGTAATGTAACATCACCCTCTTGTACTGCCCTCCTCTTCCTACCCCTCCCTACCCTCGTCATAGTTCCCAAAACTCCATTATCAGCACCATTACCATTTGTTATTGGAGTTTCTTTAATGCTTTCAAGCTCCACATCCATTTTATCTGTTTCTGTGTTCGATTTAGGGAAATCGGGTGAAACTGGTGCTGTTTCAATGCTGCTATTTGTCGAATCTTTTCGCTTCCTCCCTCTTCTCTTCTTCGGTGCACTTATTGGAGCAACATTTCCATGGCTAACCTCTGTAGCAGAGTTCTCCGGCTGGCTAACCTCTTTCTTCTCCAGATCTTCGACATTCCCCTTCCCACTCTCCATATCAGCCACTGCTAAATCTGCCCCTGCCCGCTCACGTTCTTCGCCACAAACACCTTCATTCAATTCAACTCCCACCCCACGTTCCGCCAGGGTACTTCCCTCATCCTCTACAAACTTCAAATTCAAATCAAAGCAAATCCCCCCGCTCCCACCCCCCAAATTCTTAAAACCCTCGTTCACATCGACATTCAAATCAATCATCTGCTTCTTCGGCCCCAAAACCCCTCCCGAAACCCCATTGTTCAGGCAGGGGCCTTCCCCCACCTCCAAGTTCACCTCCTTATTCAAATCCAGGCCGCCAATCTCACCCCCAATTTCAACAGAATTAAACCCACGATCATCATTCAAAGTATTACAACCGTCGTCATCATTCAAATTCAAGTCAAAATTGGCAGGCTTCCCATCCCTAACCACCGAATTATCAGAAACACCGCCAAGAATTACTAAGTTATCGCTACCCTTACCTTCATCAGCAATGCAGCGCCGCTTCCTCGGATTGCCCCCATCGTCCGATCCCAACGGCGGCGGAGACGAACACCCGCCGGACACCAGCACCGAAGACAGCTCCAGAAATCCCAATTCCTCGGAACTTCCGCCGTCGTACACCACCTCAAAAATCCCAGTTCCCGGCTCGTACCCTCGAACCAAACCGAATAGTGGGTCTTGCCCTCGAACCTCCTTTTTCACCGCTCTCCCAATATACTCCATTCCAAAATTTCATAAATAATCCTCCGGGAAAAAAAAAAAAAATAGACAACAAAAGGGCAAAATTTTTAAAATTTCGCAGAACCCCAGTTGAATTTCAAGAAGAGTAAAAATAAAAATGCAAGAACAACACAGCCCAGCACAATTTGATCCCTCCGCAAAAGCCCTCCTCCTCAGCACTCCCGTGAGAGAGAAAAAAAAAAATGGTTGGCGGGTTAGGAGGGTGTTTGTTTCTCTCTCTAGATTTGGAAAAAAAGTTTGGTGTAGTGACGCTGGAAGAACGTGGGGACTACCATATACTCATCATCACTCGGTGGAGTTGCCCTTTTTGCGTGACTCGGTTGTGGCTCCGGACTCAACGAGGAACTCCGACGTACAGCTCCTGTTGCATAAGGTACATCTTATTACAGCGCGGATTCGACTCCGTCTTGAAAAGTCCGTTCTTGACGTACAACTTGGGAAGCGGAGTGTACAATTGTTTGAAAGGGTTTGACCGTTGAGGATTTTTGAGACTCTGTGTAGGATTTGCAATAAATGCAAGGCTTAAAAATCTTATCGCAATTAATTCTTGTCTTAATATTTATTTATCTGGATTTTATTTTTATTTTTATTTTTGTTTGGAAAGTGTTTTTAAATAGAATTTGATATTAATTTATAATAATTACTGTTACTTTCTATACATTCCAATAGTAAGCATAATTAAGTAACATTATAAAATAAATTTTGTGTTATAAATATTATATATTTATTGTGTTGCATTGGAGCATGACAATAATTTGAATTACTAAATATGTATGAAATATTTAACTCCCTCCCTCCCTCCCTCCGTCCCATATAATTTGTTCCTATTTTATATTTTCGTCTATTCCACATAACTTATCCTTTTTTTTTTTTTTTGAAATATAATTATGCACTTTAATCATATTTTAAATTTTAAATTTTATAATTTTCTTAATTTTATTTAAATTATTTACTTATTTTAATCTTATTTATAATTATTTTTACTAATACACTTATTAATTATTTACTAATTATATTTTACTTAAATTTCTGTGTCTACAGTAATACACTCATATTACATGGGACGGAGGGAGTAATATTTAGTGTAGTTCGATTATATATATTGTAATAATTTTAATTTCAAAATCTAACTTTATTATCATCATAATGTTATTTTATATATACCATTTCAAAAAGGGTATAATGAAGTTTAAAAAATATATGTGTTACTAAATGAAATTAAATAATAATTCTAATGCATACACAAATAAAAAAAAAACAAAAAACAAAAAAGAAAAACAAAAAAAAAAAATTGTGATCTATATTTATTCAATATTTTCTAAATTAATACTTCATTCTTTTCACATACCATGTTGACTTTTTGTCCATCCTACTTTCCACGTCACTTTTATTTTTTTAAATATTATTACACACTTTAATCTCATTTTAAACTTTTTAATTTATTTTTTTAAATTTTAATTAAAATAATTGATTATTTTAATTTTAATTTATAATTATTTATATTATAGGATAACTATATTTACTAATACATTTTTAATTATCTACTAATTACACCCCTCCTAAAATATCGTGTCTACAGTGTAGCAGACACGGTATATGGGACCGATGAAGTACAATCTATTGCATTAGGGAGATTGTAATAATAATATATGTTTTCAATTTAGGTAAATGAAATCTTTTTAAAAAACTTATTAGTATATAATTACTTATACATACTTTTATTTATATGGGATTAATTAGGTAATATATTCATCTAATACGTTTTTATATATTGAGAATATTTTAGATAAAACCATATATATATCTGATGTAATATTAAATATAATATTTAAAATAAATACTATATTTTAATGTAATATTTAAAATAAAGTCAAATACAATTTCATCCACAGTAACTAAAAACTTTTTAGTATATTTTTTTTGTCTACCCTGTGAAAGTATTTATTTTCTATTATTGCAAAATATAATTTGTTTTATAAAAATTACAAACATACACGTACAATTAATTTATACATGAAGTAGTATAGCAAAAAATGTTAAAATAATTTATACATTTTTATTAACTAATAACTACAAAAAAAAAAAAAAAAAAATTACTTCTTCTGTCCCTCAGCAAGGTGGTCATTTGGTTTTTCTGTCGTTATAGTTGACATTAAAAATATCTTTATATTTGAATAATTTACTCTAAAAATATCATTGTATCGGTATTATAAGAGGCTAATAAACATATTCTTGTCTTTTTTTCTCGATTTCTATTATGTCTTATATAATTATTAATATTAAAAAATCAACATACAAAAAGCCAATGGCAACCATGCAGCGGGACGAAAGGAGTATTATTTTTTAGTCTATTATAAAATTTCAAATAACCTCATTTAGATCGAAAACTTAATTTTTTTAGTGAGATTTTTTTTAAAGATCATGAAGACATTATTTTTTATGACATGCGAACCCATAATTACTATTCTTCGGTTATGTTCCAAATAAATTATGGTCAAACTCTAATAATTTACAAATTAAATCCGACACACTAATAATTTATATGTGATAGATAATTTTATAATTTTATTTATTTTTAAAAGTTATTTATTTATTTCACATATATAAATATTTTTTTATTGTAGCATTTATTAATTTAATATATTTTACTACTATAATTTTTAAAATAATTAATCTTCACATATAAATTATTTTATTTTGTAAGTTCAATCTGCTTTATACTTTTGGGCCTAAATTTGAGCCCAATGTAAATCATATAGAACTTTTAAATTTTCTTGGGCCATCCGATGATCTTCAAAGCCCAACTAGATATTGCTACAAAAGAAAATTTGTGGTATAGCATGAGAATGGAAAACCCAATAAATGAATGAAATATGGTTTTGGGAAATATGTTTAGAAAATAATAATAATTCTAAATAATAAAAACAATTTTGTTGAATTTTAAAATTTTAGTGTATTCAATATTTTTTAAAATTTGGAATATTCAATCTATATTTCTAAAAAAATTTTAAAATTTTAAGGTATTTAATAATTTATAGACTTTTAAAGTCTATTTATTTAATTGAATTTTAATAGATAATTATAAAAAATTTGTAGAGAAGAAAATCTCTCTTGATAAAGAGAGATTTTGATGAATTTTTAAAACTATTATTATTATTATTGTTATTGTTATTGATAATATATAAATAATAAAGAATATAATAATATTTATTAATATTATTTTCAATATTTAATAAAAGGTAATAATTTAAAAATAAAATATATTAATAAATTATTATCAATTTTTTTGAAAATATGTGTTTTTATATTATAAATATAATATTTGAAAATTACTATTATCATAATAAATACGTATTATTGTTTTTTTTAGTAAAGTTAACTAAATATATATATTTCTTTAGTTGAACCGTTAGTTATATTTATTTACTTTTTATTTTTTAATTTTATTTCTTATGCAAAATTGTAAATGCAATTTTTTTTTTGTGTGATTGTTTTGTAAATATTTTGAATAATTTTTTTTAAGGTATAAAAAATTGTGCATATAATATAAATATAATGAATGTGTGTAATTTATTAAATTTTTAATCTATATCTTTATTTTTTACAAAATTATATACAAAAGAATAATAATAATAACTAATAAAAAAAATATAAAAATAAAATGTGTGTTTACTTGTAAGATTTTGATTTTGGATTTTAGTTTTGAATAGTAAAATTTTGAATTGAAATAGTTATTTGATGTGATATTTTAATGTAAAATAAAATTTTAATGCAATATAATAAATAAATAAGAATATTTGATTTGATGTTTTTGAAAAGGTAAAAAAAATTTGGAATAGTAATATTAAGGTAAAAAAAACCCACAAGTAAACAGACCCAAATTGATATATTGAATGATAACATAATAAAAGTTATAAAATTAAAAATATAAATATACAAAATACTAGTATTATATATATTACAATATTTCTATATCATTAATAATTATATACATTTATTATTACCTATATTTTATAAAAATATAGAAATATATAATAAAAATATTAATATTACCTATGTTTTATAAAAATAAAATAATATATAATAAATATATTATATTTGTAAAATTTTTATTTACATAAGTTTATGTAATTATATAAATTAATAAACAAATCATTTTATAATTCTATAAAATTCATATAAATTTATAAAAAAATTCAATTAAATCTATAAAATTTTATCTAAACCAATTAATAAAATCCATATATTGGCTCTGTGATCTTTTTAAATCCACAAAAATACGTAAATATATATTTTTTTTTTAAAAAAAAAAAAAATCCCAATGAAATCTACGCACATAAATTTGGCCAGGTGCAGTCGATACTTTATTTCTCCCTGTTCTCTCTCTCCCCACTTCTTTCTCTCACATTCTTTCTTTCTTCCTCTGCCCCCTTCCCTCTTTTTCTCTCCACTTCTCTTCTCTCTTTCTTTCACCTGCCATGGAAGCTTTAAGTTTTTCTTGTTTGAATAACTAAAAAAGATCATTGCAATTAATTTTATGATTTTAGATAACTTGGAGTTATTAAGCCTGGATGAGCAATCATTTTGGTTGCTCTTACAAAACAGATGAACAACCAAAAAAAGAAAAAGGGAAAAACAACATAGAATTCCCTCCTTTTCCCCTTCTAAATCATCGAACCAAACAGTGCCTAAGTAGATTAACTAAGATATTTAAATGCATTCATTCCCTGGTATTGAATTGCTCAAACATGCCTTAAGCCAAACAACCACAGCAATAGTTACCACCCCGCTACACAAGTGTAGAGAATTCACACCAAATGGAGAAAGTGCAAAACAGACAGACATACAGCAAACACAAGTTGCCCAAAATGGCATCACGATCATGCAACATTATAAACTCACTAACATGCATCATCTGCATCTGCCCTCCAACATATGGCCAAAAAAGTTCTTGATGATGATGATCAAGAGGGAAAGTGCAAGAAATGCCCTATCTATGGACTATGGCCAACCCCACATTCATCCACACAAAAAGCAAATATGCATATCAACTCTAAAAGGCCTCTCTCACTTCACTACCATAGCATTGGATTAGGAATAGACTTACACTAACTTAGGCCATTTTTCTGTCACACTTGTTCCATTTTGTCTGAATGCCAACATCATTCACTGGAGATAGAAAGGAGAGAGAGAGAGCAATTGGGGCCAGGCATGTGGTAGCACATGTCGATGGGCTCACACATCGCTTTCGTGCTTCTTCTTGCACATGGCTCATGCCTCCCATGGCTGCCCCACATTTATTGCTCTGCTTGTACAAACTTCATCCATCTTTACTGCCTGCCCTCTGCATCTGAAATCCATGGCCCTGCATAGTAATTACCAATCAACTGATAGATTATTTGATCTATTCAGCACAAGGGAACGATGAGAACTTTAATGCCTATTGGGAAATGAAATGCTCAATCTTTTTGCTACTTCAAGTAAATTCGAGACAAATGAAACTTCAATCTTTGATGTTATCTTAAGCTATTGTACTCACGGCAAACTTGAATTCAAACTCAAGATCAAGTATATACCGGCAAGTGTTCTTACTAAGACATGTAAATTAATATATCCCAATAACCAAAATAACATAGCACATCTTAAGCTTCGAGTGATTTAATCGTGTCATTTAAGATCATTAGATTTTGCTACATGTGCAATTATAAGGAGTTGGGATGTAGGGCAAGGGCAAAAATAGGCTTTCACAACTGTTCTAACTTTCTGTAGTAACATGTGCCAATCTATCCATTTGACGACTGAGAAGCACACTGACAATCCTCTATAAATACCTGTGTTTCTTGTTACAACCTCGAACAACTAACTCATCCCTCGTTTGTCTTCTCTCTCTTTCAGTTGGCCCAAGAAAAATGGATAGGAAACTAACCTTCCTATTGTTTCTACTACTCATTGCAACACTTGTAACCCACAACCAGGTAAGTCATAAACAGTCACTTAAGCATATACACTAGTAGGAATATATCAGGACATCCATGGGATCAAACACGAACCACACTGACTCAATTTCGTAGTGCATGTTATACAAAATTCAAAGAACTATTGCAATACTCTTAGATTGTATTTTTGGATAATTTTTCAGGCATCCAGCTCCAAGACGCCAGCTTCTCAACACCAAGTAAAAACCTATTTTCATAAAGTAGATAGAAACTTCTGTGTTCTTTCCCTGGATATCTAATAAATCTTTATTTATTCGTTTGACCACAGTATGGCATAAGCGAAAGGAGCCTTCGACTTCAGGGTAAGTGACAAACGCATTCTATATATATATAGTGTGTGCGTGTGTCCCCAAAAATATCAAAGCAATAAATTACTGAATTTTGAGGAGATCATACCTGGTCACAATGTAGCTCCATATCATATGATTTCAATATCTTTTGTGCAGACTGTGCCCCAAGATGCAGTAATAGATGCTCAAAGACATCGTTCAAGAAGCCATGCATGTTCTTCTGCCAGAAATGCTGTGCCAAGTGTTTATGTGTGCCTCCTGGCACATACGGCAACAAGCAAGTTTGCCCATGCTACAACAACTGGAAGACCAAGAGGGGTGGCCCCAAATGCCCGTAGAGGCTCCAATGGAACCAAAACCTTATTGCTCAACTGATTAAGCAATCAAGTTTTTATGTTCTTGGACTTCCCAGCAGCTTCCTGCCATTGGTTCTTCACTGGAAGTTCACTATCTATCTTTCATTATATTGCCCTGTGCCTAATGTTTTATGGGATTTCCAATGCTAAAAGAATGCATTGTAAGAATGTGGTGGGGAGACACTAATTGTTTGACTGTGTAACTTAACTCTGGAGTTCTACCTATGTATTGGAAATCCAAGTTTCGTGGAGCTGAGCATTTTATACTTCTGGTTATTCTTATAAATAGTCTTCCAGCAAAACACAAAATATAGTGTCACAGAAAATATTTGACACTTATACATCTGAATGCACATATCTTAAATAATGTTGAGGTGAAATAAAAGCACTAAGATTCAGATGCAGGTGTCCTAACACAACCGATTTAGAACAATTTGCCATCAGTTTTGTTCCTCAGTGCTCTTTGCAGTGGGAGCAGCAAGAAACATCCACATATCTCCAAACCATTTCTTCTATTCTTCTGCAGGGTAAGATCTTTACAAGGAGAGAAATTGAAGTTTCACCCATTCCTTCTCAACAAACTGTTGGCACTGATGCTTCCTTTAGGTATCTGGATAATGACACTAGTAAGTCTTTTGGAACTTTCTCTACAGTTATTTGTCAAACAAAGGACTCAAGACAAATAAGGAAAACAACAATATGAACGACAAGCATGTAATTATAATGCCAAACAATCAGAAACTACTGCTATATAAAATTTTGGATGTAAATAATAGTAACCATAATAATGATATTAAATAAATACGTAAAGTTACGTATATAGAATAAATACCATCAAACGGTCAACCTGCATAATGAAGGAGGACATAAACAGGTTAAGGTTCTGTTCAAAGGGATAACTGAAAAAGATGCTAGAGATTCATAAAATCCCTTCACATATGCACTCAAAAATCAAAATGATAGGAATAGTGAAAGATCAGAACTAACCTTTACGCTTATGATTTTGGATTTGGGAGAGAGAGACAGCAATCTGTGCACCAACGCGGGCATTGTTTTTCACTAGAGCAATGTCTTGTGACCATTAAGGAAATTCAAATAAATAAAAGGAAACTTTGCAGCCAAGCAAGCAGTTGAGCTTAAATTGGAATAAAATTCCATAAATCATAATAAATAAAAAATATTGCAGCCAATGATGATGGGTAGCAACTATTGGCCAAGACTAATTAGTTTTTGCAATTTTCTTTTCTTTAATTTTTGGCTATGAAACTGAATGGGTGTGCTCTTTTGGCCAAATTTCTCAGGATTTCTACTATTCATCAAGCTTTTTCACTCTAAAAACATCAGATCAAATACCTTTTTTTTTTATTTTTTATATTATACTAAAAATCAATTTACATTCAAAACATCACATCAACACCAATTTATATCACATCATACAATAGTCCAATACAAAATTTTACTACTCAAATACCAACTCAAAATCCAAACCCCCAAACAAACACACCCAATGATTTTATAAAGAATACTTGCAGCAAGGGATGCTCCCCCAGTGAGCTCATTCACTCTAGCAAGTAAGAAAGGCGTTTCAGCACTGCCAGTCACATTATGCTCCCTGTGTCACAAATCCAGACAATTATAATTTGCTAAGATTAAACATTTAATTAACTAGTTTAACAATATTAGCAGCATAAATCATTCAAATATAAGGCGGGAAAAACACCTACCGAGCCTCTTTAAGAGCTCTCTGTATTGCTGACTCAATTATGTTTCCTGAAGCAGAATGCTCTTTGGGAATGGGGACTGCTATCAGAACTCCAGTGCCCAGGCCAAGACCAATGTTTGAATCTGTGATGTTAAGAACATCAGCCCAAAAGTAGCATCAATAACAAGGCAGAGAAGGAATAACAAAAAGACAACAAAGGATGCTACACCTATTAGTCGAGCACAATCCTCAGGTGAATCAACATGGCAAGGTGCCTAAATTTATGGAAACACGAAAATGAAGAACATAAGATTAGATTGCAACTTCAGAATTTGGCAATGCCAGTAAATATACATATATGCAAAAAATTAACCAGAACTACACTTTTACCAGAAGCTGAATCCTGGTTTCCATTGCTTGCGAAGAGAGGTGAAGTAATGGCTAATGATAACATCTCATGAACTGTATACAAAAATGTTCTTTTACGAGCTCACCCTATCAACATTATATTATCCTTTTCTACCATTGATTTCAAGTCTAAACATCCATACTTAGATATTTTTGCTTTTCTTCTCATGGAAGTGATGTGATATGAGATAATATTAAAGGGTGAATTTCACCGAACAAGAAAGAACTCTAATTTGGAAACACCAACAGAATTCCATGCCAAATAACTCTCAATTTGTTTGAATGGATCAGTTATTAGGTAATATGAAATAAAAAATTATATCACCCCAAATGATGCTTCATGGTCTAAAATCTGAACAGATTAAGGAATTCTAGCACAATGATGTGAGATAGAAACACAAGCAATCTCTATCCAGTATGCCGCATATAAATGGGTACCTTGTAGCCGCTCTTATCAGTGAAGAAGGCAGGGAACTCATTGGTCTGGTATGCAGCAACACAGACTCCTTGAGTTTCCTAAAGCAAATTAGTTTTATTAGAAAATAAAGACAGTTTTTAATAATTGTTAAAGAGCAAAAAGGGTTTGGGGGTTACCAAATACTCAAGGGTTCTTGAAATATCTAATATTGATTTGACACCAGCAGAAACTACAGCAACAGGTGTCCTTCCAAGCTCCGTGAGATCAGAAGAAATATCCAATGCTGCGAAAGGAAGAAGATAACAATCAATAAAAAATCAAAATCGCAAGACATGCTGGTTTCATATTCATGAAATTGAATAAAATGAACCTTAAAACCAAGCAGAGAGCAAGAAAGATCAGACACTTCTAAAATGCTCTTGGACTGTATACTATTCTGCTAGAAAAGAAACTAAACATACTACTCTCTCCATGTCGATGTACTCCACCAATGCCCCCCGTGACAAAAATGGGAATGCCAGCCTGCGAATATTTGAATAATAAAAAATACAGGCTCTATAAAGAATTATCTAGAGAAAGAGAGAACAAGCAACAATAATTACCATAGAAGCAAAAAACATGGTTGCAGAGACAGTTGTTGCACCAATTCCTCCAGTAGCCACCTGACAAAGGTGGCTTACATCATGTTTAAAGTCCTACCTTTTCATAGACAATAAGATCCAAGTCTAAGAAATGGAATACCACCAACTGGTGGGTATTTCCTGGCGACACAGCTCTAATATCTTATCTAAACTATTTAATACACATACTCCTAAAACATTTTCAGTAAGGCAATGATTTTCACGATCAACATTGAGCAGTCCAATCTCAACACTTTACATCATAGCAGTGAAAAGGATATGGACAGGCACATGTAATCGGATATTAGATGCTTACAACATGTGCAATGTCCCGGCGAGCTGTCTTTCGAGCTTTTCTTCCAAGGACAGCCAACCTCTCAAGCTCTTCTGCTGATAAACCTTTAATATATATAAATATATTACAATTTAGATTAGTGTAAATTAAATTTTCCCTCACTTGGCTTCAGAAGTGAAGAAGCACCAAGGAAGCTGGAGAAATAAACACAGAAACAACACACAAGTACACAACTACAACATGGAGGGAGAGAGAAACCTATTCTCATAATCCCCCATGGAAAGGAAATGGGCTAGGTAGCATATATTTCCTAAACCTTCAATTACAAATCTCACATCTTATATGATCATGCATCCATCCACTACAATAAGGACATGACTTTAGTGTTGTGAAGAAGAAACATTCTATATAGAAAAGCAATACAAATACAGTAGGAAAACTAAAAAATGTTATTATACTACTTATGCCAAGTTTCACCTTGTTCAAACACATTCTAACTAGATAAATTGGTTATGATGCAAAATCGAGCACCATGGGAAGAAAAAAAAGGGTAAATGACGAATTTCTTCTATTTAAATATGTAGGATTATTAACTCAAACCAACAGCATTCAATAAGTATTGCATCCTTTGTATAATCTACATAAGTTTTCAAATAAACAGAACTTTGGATTCAATCATTCATAGCTGATAGCACTTACATGCAAAAGATCTATTTAATCGAAAACTTCATGTTTGGGCTTTCTGAAACTAAAAGGCTCAAAAGTGGAGATGAAAAAAGTTCAGATTAAATACCTATGCATGGTGTTCCATCCAAAATAGCAATAGTAGCGGGTACAGCTCCATTTTGCCTTACAACTGCCTCTACTTCTTTAGCTGTCTCCAAATTCTGTGGATACGGCATCCCTAAGTCCATGATTAAGGGGTTTATTAGATATTTCATTGCACATATTACAGGAACCATTAGTCATTATATCACAAAAATCGTTGTACAGATAATGATTACTAGAAATTGACCAGAAACAGAACTACCGTATATATGTGTCTCCATAAATACTCGGTAGATTACCACAGTTTTTTAAACAGAAGCTGTCTATCAGTGAACTCAACTGTAATATGCAATGAAAACGACACAATTGCACATTCAATTACCGACAACTAAAGCGTCCAGCATTTTCATGGAACGCACTGTCTAACACTAATCTCTGCAATTCCCTGCTGTATCGTCCACCTCTACTGAATCAACATACGAAAATAAAAACACTCGTTTCGGGCAGAGTACCGTGTGAAATAATCGTCGATTCAAGCGCAACAATCGGATTCCCCGCTGATAAAGCCTCCGAAACCTCTTTGGATAATTTAACTTTCGCTTCACCCTACACAAACTAGTAACTGATCAGGCAACGAGTACTCGAAGATGGGTTTTTCTTGAATTAAAAGAAGCATTCTTGAACTACTCAGCTCAAAGAAACGAAAACCATCGTACCTTTGAGGTAGGGTTCAAGTGCCTTCCGAGATTCGCGATTCTGGAGAGAGCCGAAGATGCCGCCATTCTTGTTTGATCTTCTCCCCTGCGTCGGCGTCGGAAGAGAGGATTTTCAGAAGTAAAAAACGTGTTTTGGTTATGAGGTTTTAAGTCGTGTTTCTAAACTACGCTTATTTCAAAAGTCGAGGTTTTATTTATTTTACTCGGTCTGTTCGTTAATTAAACGTCCGCCATACAAACATCATTCCTGTGTCTTCTCCAAGGTTCTGGAGCACGTCCATGGCGTCCAAGCTCTCCCTCGCTCCTACTCTTGATCGTCTCGTTGCAAGGAAATCTTTCAACAAATGCTGGCAAACAGTTCCCCGGTTTTCGATTGTTCCTTTGAGCTTTCCTGCTTTTGAGTGTTCATTTAGAGGAAGAGTTCCACTGACATCATACGTGTCATGTTCCGGCGCTGTAAGCGAACAAGTTGCTGAATCTATGACCTCCGAGTCAACACAGGATGAAACGACCACTTCACCATCCTCTTCCTCGAAGCTTGTTCTTGTCGTCGGAGGAACCGGTGGCGTTGGTAATTTACCCTTTTCACGCTTTTTAGTTCTGTTTTTTTATAGTATTGTTGATGCAATTTTCAACAATAAAAAAATAAAATTCGAAAATAGGTCCGAATTTGATATAATTAATGTCTGATATTATGAATCACTAATACATAAATAAAGAAAAATAAAACTAGAGTTGGTGATCAAAGGCAATTCTTTTGAATTTGTTGTCGGAACATACCCGAATCTTAAATATTCCTTTAAGAAAACATTTCGGAACCGTGGCTTAGTTACAGCAACTGCCAATTCCTCCTTTATAGACACGCGTTCTTAACCTTTTTGCCAATCGCTTCCACGGGTTCCAGAACTCAATTGGCCAACCGACCGCCTCTGGGCGCCTTACTTTTTTAAATGGACGGCTAGTCCCGAACGAATGCTCCAAAATGCCCAGTATCCTTCAAACAGACTGCGGCTGACCGACTGACCCAAACGCATAACCCAACCATTGACCCACCGACCATTCCAGAGATACTCCAGACGAGCCCCAACAAGTGACCAACATCTTATCTCTCCAGACGATTCAATGGTCGCCTCAACCAAGCGACTGAATTACTGTTCACTTAATTAAGCGACTAATTAACAGATCTTTCGCTTGGCCCAAACTCCGTATCAGCCGTCCTTTTTCGCCCGACTTCCTCTTTCGACCGACCTTCTTCGCCCGACTTCCTGTTTCAACCGACCTCAGTATCAGCCGTTCTTCTTCGCCCGACTTACTGTTTCGACCGACCTTTGTATCTGACTTTATTAAGTCCGATCATTGTCTGACTTTCTTTAAGATCCTGCTACCATTATTATTATTATTTTTTGTGCGTAACAATTATATATGATACTCGCACTCTCGATGACGGTGTAGAGTCCAGGGAAGGGTTATTCACGATATCTCCGGTTGGTGGCTTGATTGTATGAACAATGGGATGAACACTTGCAAGTTGCAAAACGGCATATAAGTAAATAGTGGAGCAAAGGAAGTAGATACACGCCGAGTGATCTGCTTTGGCGTGTCCCCACAAGGGCTACTTCTAGACTACAGCATTCTGCTTAGTCTTCATTTTCCACTGCTTAAATTAGAATTGTACCATTAGGAACAAATTACTCTTGGTTAGGCTAGGCGTCACCACCACTTCACTCAAAGCTTTTGATCAAGTAGTGTCTAACTTCCTTTTTTTCTTTTTCTTTTTTTTTTTTTTTTGGGTTTTAATCCTGGTTCAAGATCAAGCATTTCTTATCTTCAGTTGAGTTCAGCCCAATTCAAATAATAGTTTATACACTTGTTTGTTTGTTTGAATCAAGCGTACTCTGCTTGATTTTGTATGCAACATTTTGAAGGTCTTTCTTTTTCGGGGCCAACAAACTTAATAACAAATTTTTGTCCAATTCATTTAACAGCACTTACTTTTGACTGAGGATGCATTTGTGTCAAGCTCTCCTTGTCATCAACCTCCAGTTACTTGGCTGTACTTTGGATGCCCTCAAACAAATGAGTTCAAGTGAATAGTGTGATAATCAACATTTTAGCCTCACAATCGACTTTAATCATTTCTCACATGCTTTTGAATGAAACTTCATATGCATTATTGAAACAATGGTATGACTTCTGAACTTAGATACAGATGAGACTCTAATTACAAACTTGAAGCTGAAAAGTTTGCCAAAGAGTGAATTTGAATGCTTGTCATGCATGATCTCTTTCTTGGGTTTGCTCAAGACTAATACTTTGAGATTCATGTCGCCAAAAGTTCTATTATGATCATCTAAGTATATATATAACTAAGTTGTAGAATGATGAACTTGCGACTCACACGCCTGAAGCTCTGGATTGACTTGGGACTCTCTATTTTTGCTTACAATATATTTTTACTATAACTATATCATGATTCTTAGCTTATTCCACAAAGTGAAGAGGCTCTGGATTGACTTGGGACTCTTTATTTTCACTTACAATATATTGTTACTATAATTATATCATAATTACTAGTTTATTCCACAAAGTAAACAGCTCCCTAAAAAGGATTAGTTAAATCATTGTTTTATCTTCGTAATGTAGCCTCATATTATTTGTTTTGTCCTCTTGTAAGACATTTGCTTAGTTTTAAACTAGACCAGTGTTTAAGAGCATTATATATCCGCTCTGAATTTGTTTTCGAATTACCATAAATTTGGTGGTGTGGTATTTCCAGGATTTGTTTCAAGAGCACATACATCTAAATTTGTACTTGACATATTTTTTCTTGGTTTGTACTCGCCTTTTTTGTCAATATGTTGACCATTGCAGTTTTTATCAGGGCAATTAGTTGTAGCATCACTGCTTAATCGGAACATTAAATCAAGGCTTATACTGCGGAATCCTGAGAAAGCTGCAGCTCTTTTTGGTGAACAAGATGATAAAAAATTACAGGTGTTTGTCTTAGTCACATCTGAATCCATTGTGTTGCTTAGTGTTTGGTGTCAGACAAGATTATGTTCAAATTTTAGTTAATCTTCTCTGAATTTTGGGTGTCATTTTCCAAGCTTCCTTATGAACTTGCTAGGTGTGGCAAGGTGACACTCGGAACCCTGGGGATTTGGATTCTTCTATGTTTGAGGTTTGTCGATAAACATCCATTTTTTGGAAAGTAAACAAATTTTATTTGAGGGACTATTTAACTAGAAAGATTTAGGAATCGTATTAAAAGCTACTAAAAGAACCTAATATTAAGACTGGTTTAATTCTTTGGTGTGGTAAGCTCGTTATAACGAGCCTTATACCCTTGAAGGAAGAGCTTACCATTCTTAGATCCACCCATAGCAAGGAAATTGGCTTGATTGTATCTACTTCCGAAAATGTGTTGAAAAGTGATCGGCATGTAGAAAAATATGTTGCAACTTGTTTTCCTTTGAGGACCTTTGAGGAGGTAGCGAAATGGAATAGAAATTTACTACTTTTTGAAAACTATTTACAGTGGAAGATTGTTGCTACAGGGGGTAACACATGTTATTTGCTGCACTGGAACAACGGCCTTTCCTTCCAGGAGATGGGATGGAGATAATACACCTGAAAGAGTAGGTCAGAATTCATTTTGCTGCTTCCAAATTCTAAAATAATTGTTTTGTGCATTTCAGTTCCTATGTCCTCATGTTTCCATCAATAAGATTTTCAAGTTAAGGATTACAAGCCATCTTAAAAGCCCATTGTAAGATTAGACAGTAAAACGTTCCCTCCCCCATAATATGAAAAAAAAAAAAAAAAAAAAAAAAATACAGTAAGAGGTTGGTGAGAGAGGTATTCCACCCCTGTACACTGCTTTCCTATCCTGGCTGGTATAGATACTTCTTAGACTCAATGAAGTGGGTTTCTTACTAGAAATTTTCTGTTTGCAGATTTTCCACGTGGCATTAAATAGCGATAAGGTTTCATTGGGTTGCTTAAGTAGAATATGATGCTGCTTTCAGATATTAATCTAGAATTTTTATAGGTAGTTCACTTTTGTAATGTTATCTGATTTTACTATGTCAAGTTATGGAAGGACCTAAACTTAGGTTGCAGCAGAAAAGAAAATGACCAATAAATAACCCTTCGCATTTTGAAATTTGACAAAAGAGAAAATAAGACTAAAAATTTCTCATTCTAACTTCTGAATGATGAGGAGGCACTTTTGCAGACAGTTTTCACAGGATGCTTAATGATGCCTTTAATATAATAAAGTTTCTTTGTACATTTAATCTTTTATGCAATGCATCTATCCAATAGAGTCTTGTTATTATAATGTAGACTGGGAAGGTGTGAGAAACCTTGTACTAGCATTGCCGTCATCGGTGAAAAGAATTGTTCTTGTCTCTTCAATAGGAGTCACCAAGTTCAATGAACTTCCATGGAGGTGTGCTTTCTATTTTGTGATATTGTCCACCTAAAAGCTTTTCATGCTTCTTAGAATTACAATGTAGTACAAAATTCTAGTAACAAGCTATTTCCACTTGCATGTATTATTATAGCCAAAATAGAAAATATAAAAATTTTATAGACATACACTTTGTAGAAGCTTCAGAGGAGCTGTAAATAAGATTGTACAATAATAAATCAATTGTGTGCATGGTATTCATGGCTTATCTCTGAAAAGATGTTCACAATTTCAATGCTTGGACAGACTCTGGAATGGATTCATTAAAGATAATCACCTCCTTCGTTTAAAAACATAAAATGAACTGACTTTTCATCTAACTTATTGTCTTTATGTTTTAGCATCATGAATCTTTTCGGTGTTCTGAAGTATAAGAAAATGGGGGAGGACTTTGTTCGTAATTCTGGCCTTCCATACACAATTATCAGGTTTGAATATATAAGTTGGATCCATGCAGAATTTTGCTGTGGAAGTTAACATATTAATGCTTATATCCCCTATGCATATTGTTTTGTGTTTTTCACAACAGACCCGGCAGGTTAACAGATGGACCATACACATCTTATGACCTTAATACTTTACTACAGGCTACGGCTGGGGAGCGCCGAGCTGTGCTTGTTGGTCAAGGTATTTACCCTTTTTATATTGTTCTTCTTTTGAAATCTGTTTTATTCCTGAAGAATGATTCGAAAACAAAATCAGGTACCTTTCCGAATGTTCGCATAATTAATATCATTGATATACATAGTTACATACACTACAAACGCTCTTTCTCAATTTCCTCATTTCGTATTGGCCTTTATTATACAAATTCAATTCATTTACAAATCCCCATTTTAACTTCTGATGCCATTCAGTAATTCACACGCCGTCCTCCACATTTTGTGTCTATTCATCAATGCTTATATTGTACTGAGACTCTACAACTTTTTTCCTTAAATTTCTTTCTTAGTTTGTTCATGTTAGGTCTCTGTTTTAATGCATCGAGTCGCCTCCAAGAACCCAATAAAGATGCTATTTAGCATTCTTCACACTATTTATAGATTCTGTATGTGATTCCCAGGAGACAAACTTGTTGGAGAGGTAAGCAGGCTAGTAGTGGCTGAAGCCTGCATACAGGCAATGGACATCGATTTTACTGAAAACCAAATCTATGAAATCAACTCGGTGAAGGTAAATTACTTAATCTAACATTCATGTACATAATATATACACACATATATATATATTTATTATATGTAGCCCCCTGCATCAGAAAATAATTTATCGATCACCCGGCCTCATCCCAGATACTCAATGCACTTTATTGAGTAAAATGTTGATCTCTCATGCAATATGCTTTACCCCACCCCGCAATTTTTTCGACAGTATTTTTCATTACTTGTGATTCAAGAAGGTGTTGATTGCTGATCATCTTGCCTGAAAATAATAATGATGCAGGGAGATGGACCTGGGAAAGATCCACAAAAATGGCAAGAATTATTCGAAGCTGCACATAGGCCCTCCTGATCTCTAAAGTCATGATACAAATTGAAACATGTAAGCATTTTGAGTTTTTTTTTTTTTTTTTTTTTTTTTTTTCTTTTGAATGTTATGTCTTTTGGTATAGAAAAGGGCTTGTCTTTACTGTACATGCAGATTTTATTATAATGAGAAAAATCAGTCCATTGATTGGTGTGAAAAGTCAATTGTTCGTTTTTATTTTTCTTTTAGGTTTTTTTTTTTTTTTTTTTTTTTTTTTTTTTTTTGTTACGATTTTGTGTGAATAATAATAATGGGTTGGGTGTTATGTTTTGCAAGTGTTGAACTAAAGAAAAAGTTTAGTCAAAAATCTCGTGCTTTCATTGTATTTTTTTTTTTTTTTTTTATAATTTGGAAATTCGCGGCCACTATCAGAAAGTAGGTGCACTCTTAGTAAACTTCGATCGAGCCTAATAGTCTGGCCCGAATTGAAGTGAAGTAGGATAATTTTATTAGAATTCCTTATTGCGCTTTAGGTAAATTATGTGTGACAGACAAAATCTAGAGGCTTCCAAGTTCACAAGCCAGGCCATCCTTTGTGGGAGTGCTCGTGCTTTCATTGTTGAAACAATGGGAAATGGTTCGAGATATTTTATAGAAAACTAGTTCTTTTGAGGGTTTGAATTTTGTACTTGATTTGAATAATAAAAATTTTGAATTTGAAAAATTATATGATGCAGAAATAAATTGGTGTGGCTTAATATTTTGAATATAAAATTAAATTTTATTATTATATAGAAAATATAAAAAAAGAATTTAATTTGATATTTTTGAAAAAATTTGATAAACAATAAAAATTTTGGTAAAAACTTTCAATATAAGATAGTGTTTTTTTTTTTTTTTTGCAAATTATTTTTCTAGTTCGGATTTTGTTAATTTAAAGCGGAACTAAAAAATAATTTACAAGATAAAGAAAATGACAATAGTTGTATAACATAAAATTTGAAACCAAACTTCAAAATAACACATCTTTTGTATTTTTGTTATTTTTTTGTGTTTTATTCTATCGTATTTAAAGTAAAATCGATATTGAATATTATTAAATATAATATTTTTTGCAATAAATTTTAAGAGTATTTGATATTGAAAAAATTATATCTAGAGAAATCACATATATATGTGTTTGTTTTATATTTTTGGATTAACCTATTATTATAGGTAACGTATAAAAATAATATTTTATTTTAATTTGTTGATCTTTTATAAATTGATTATATTATATATAATTATGTTTGGGTTTTTTTAAAAAGAATTTTCTTAAAAAAAATCATGTATGTGGAAAATAGTTGGATGAACACATCTATGATCTATCTAGGTATAATTCATTTTTTGTTATTATTGAATGTATTTTAAAATTTTTGTTAATTTTTCTTTAATCACATAATATCCCCTCTATCATGAATTAATGGATACAAAATTCTTTTCGATCGGTTTCACATACATTTTTATTTTTAGTAAATTATATATACTAAAATATAGGAAAAAAATCAATTTTGATCCCAATATGACTAAAATTTATCAATTTTGGTCTCAATATAAAAAACTCATTAAGTTTAGCCCAAATATAAACAATTTCGATCAATTTTGGTCCAATTATAAACAATTTTAATCAATTTTGATCCCACTGTTAAAAAACTAACGGAAATTGCTAACGTAGACGTGACGAAGGTGACGTGGCAGTTGACCTGAAAAGTACACGGCCATGTACAATTATACACGGCCATGTTGTTACATGGTCATGTATATTTCAGTGTATAATTATACATGGTCATGTTGTTACACGACCATGTATAATTATACATGGTCATGTACATTTCTATTTTAGTTTAAAATTTTATTTTTTTTGTTATATTTTTTTTAAAAAAAATTATTTTGAATTTAAAATAGTTAATATAGTTAAAATGGACAAAATCAATAGTAATTATAATATAATTAAAATTTATCAATTTTAATTCAAATATAAAAAATTATAAGATACATTCTTTGAAATGTTTTGTCTAAAATTTTATTATTCAAAAAAAAAAAAAAAAAATTCTCTTACAAACATCCAATTACACAACTATTTTTTTTAAATTTTGTATATTATAGTAGTATTAAAAATTAATTTATTATTTCAATACATTAATTGGATGTTTGTAAGAATTTTTTTTTGTTAAATAGTATAATTTTAGACAAAATCTTCCAAAAGAGCATACTCGATAAATACTTATATTTGAACTAAAATTGATATATTTTAATTATATTATGATTATTATTGATTTTTTTTTCATTTTAATTACATCAACTATTCTAAATTCAAAAAAAATTTAAAAAATATAACAAAAATTTAAAATTTTAAACCGAAACAGAAAAGTACACGGCCGTGTAGAATTATACATGGCCGTGTATCAATATGGTCATGTATAATTATACACTGAAATATACATGATCATGTAATAACATGGCCGTGTATAATTGTACATGGTCGTGTACTTTCCAGGTCAACTGACACGTCACCTCCGTCACGTCCACGTCAGCAATTTTCGTTAGTTTTTTAAAGGTTGAATCAAAATTGATTAAAATTGTTTATAATGGGATCAAAATTGATTGAAATTGTTTATATTGGAACTAAAATTGTTGAGTTTTTTATATTGTAACAAAAATTGATAAATTTTGATTATATTGGGACCAAAATTGATTTTTTCCCTAAAACATATTACAAATATAAAAATTTAGTTAATCATATGACATATAATATCATACATCAAATGTACTACATTCAAAATTTCAATTTTAATTCAATACATAAATATTTTTTATTTATATTTAAAATTTTATATTTTTTTAATAAAATTAATCTATATTTGTAATATTATTTTATGAAATTTGAAAAATTGGATTATTTTTCATAATATTTTATATATAGGCATCATAGACTCAAATTATAACAACATGATAAAATCAAATTTTAAAACAACTAAATTTAATATAAAATTCAATTAACTCAAATATTTCAACAATATTAATCATTTTATTTATTTATTTATATTATGTCAAATTTTATTTTATATAAATTATATTTATACTAAGCATATAACATGTGCTATACATGGCTAATAATGTAGTGTGATATTTAAAATGTGATTAAAGTATCTAATTATATTTGAAAAAATGACAAATTACAACGGACATAAATATTAATAGCGAACAAATTAAATGGGACGAAAAAAAAGAATATAATATATATAACTATTATTTTAATACGGACAAAAATAATAAAATAAAATAATTATTTTAAACGAATGATATATAATAAAGATAATATACAACTATTATAATTAAATAAATAAATAAACCCATCATTATTTTGGGCTCAAATTAATGATGGGTTTAATTTGAAGTCATCAATTGTGATAATTTATTTTTTTAACAAATTTTAATTATTCAAAAAATAATACTATAACTTTTTTTTAATAAAAAAATTCCAAAAAATTGTGATTACGGGATTAGCTGATAACTAACTGTCAGCTGTTGGCTGATTTGAGTAGCTGTTAGCTGATTCAATTAGTTGGTTTGACTAGCTGATTCGATTATCTGTTTGTATTTAAGTGTTTGGTAAAATAACGGTTTGATATTAGTTGTTTATACGTAAAATAACAATTGGAGATATTTTATATTTTATTTTCAAAATATTTAGTTGAGTATTTTTTTTCTGTGGTAGATTTTTTTAAATTTTATTATTAATTTTAAAAATTAGAAAAATTTTAGTAAGATATTTATTTTTATTATTTTAAAAATATTTTGTAAAGAATCAATGCAAGTTTATTGAAAAATATATATATTTTTTTTATTACAAATAGTATAAATATAAAAGAGCAAAAATTATTGACATATGTATTTTTATTATATTAATTTTAAATTAATATATATTTACATTAAATTTATAATTTTAAATAAATATATTTATTTTTGTTAAAAATATTATGTGATAAAAAATGCTATATAATTGATTCAATAATATTAATATTTTTATATTATTTTTATTCTAAAAAATTTTAAAAAATTATAAATAAGATAATTGACCTATAAAAAAATAATTATTTTAAATTTATAAATATGAAATTATAAAATATTAGAAAAAAATATATCTAAATAATTAATAAATAGTGTAATAAAAAAATATATGAATATATGTAAAAGAATTAATTAATTTTATATATAATTTTTTCAAAATTAGTTTTTTAGACTCAAACTAATTGAAAACGCTAATTTATCGAACACTAAAATTACCTGATTTATTGCTTTTGAAAAAATTGTTTATCAAACACCCTCTTATTTCAGCTAGAATCATGTTTTTTTTTTTCTTTAATTAAATTTATGAACAATTATTTTAAAAATAATTTTATCCAATCATAAATTTATTACCTTTGTAGTTAGTTTTGAGTAATAGTTTAGGATGTAGTTGTTTTGTGACATATACCAAATCTAAAATTCATTATATTCATTTTCTATCGTGCAGTTGTTTGGTGAAATAGTTTGAAAAAATATTTTTTTATATAAAATAAAATTTTTTTATAGATAATATAGAAATAATAAATATATATAATATATTAATTTTTTTCAAAAAATATGTATTATTGTTTTTTTTAGAAAATGCACTCTTAAAAATTCCTACTTAATTTATTTAAATAATATTTTTTTGTTATAGTAGATACGTCTGATCAATTACATTATAATAAATGATTTTTAATAAACGAAATGATAGTAAATTATAATACTATTAGTTTATTACTACAATTTTTTTTAATTTTAAAATAAAAATTAATATATATAATTAATATAAATTTATAATATATATTTAAATTTTTTAAATAATATATTTTAATAAACTATATATACAATATTAATATTACTATGTAAAGAATAAAATTTTATATAGTACAAATAAATTTATTTATAATTAATATAATTTTATAAAAATTGTGAATTTTAATAAATTAATTAATATATATTTAAATGCTTAATTAACCTATAATTTGTTAGCTATATGCATAAATATAAATATGAGATATATTTTTGAGGTAAACAGAGCCAGTGTAAAATTTTCCTTGCAGGGGAGGGGAGGGTTGCAGAGAGCAGTCTGATACTGATCGGTAGACCCTAGATTGGGAGAGAAGATAAGAGGATTTGAGATGCCGAGAGACAGCTGTTTAGCGCGGGTCACGGCTGGATTCGCTGTTGGTGGTGCCGTCGGAGGCGCTGTAGGTAACAATGTTCCAAATTTTCTTAAACCCTAGAGACAAAACTTTTACCGATTTTTTCCTGTGTTTCCAAGTGATAATTGCTCCTTCTTATATCTGAACACAAAATCATGGTGATATTGGCCTTTGAGTGCAAAAAAGTGATAGCAATATCAAATATCTTGTTGGAAGGGATAACGATTTGTCGCCTGTTCACGAGTCCTTGAGCATGATTTTAAGGACTCTGATATGATTACCGGTTGTTTGTTTGGATTAGAAATTTTTTATTTATTTATTTTTAAAAGAATTGCCTTCTTTTATATTGGATGATGTTCTTTGAACTGTGTTCGCTGTGGTGTCATGTGCAGGTGCTGTTTATGGAACCTATGAGGCTATAAGATACAAGGTAAAGTTTTCACCTGTTTATGAGCTTTGATTCTTAGCCTTTGGCCAGCATTTAGTTTGATGGGTTGCATGAGTGAAGATAATACAATATGTTGTTTGATCCATTTAAAGTAAATCTAACCAATTTCATCGAATTCTCAATCTACTCCACTTAAAGATGTTTCCTGCATGTTGAGAGAGGGCAATGAGAATCCCTCACCCTTGTTAATACCAATATACCCTTTTTCCGTGCCTGTGACTTCAAGCATGAATCGTGGCTGGATCTTAGTTACTTTGTGGTTGATGGGAATTTGATAAACTTTCCCATTATAAATTTAGCAATCATAAGTATTTAAGTTACACTAATTTTTGTCAAATTTATAAATATAGCGGTCAGAAACTTGCATGGAAACTAGTAATATTCTGCAAAACTTCATTCGCAAATGAAAATATTACCCTGCCTGCATATTGCAATATATGCATGAAATTTCACAATCTTGGCTGTTGAGAATAGCTTTTATTTAGATTGTATGACTTGGGGTCGGGGGTCTAGTTGATTTTGTGATACATGTATAGAGAATGTACCGCGCATCAGAAATGCTCTCAAACAGATTTAAAAATAATAAATAAATAATAATAACAAGTGAGGAGCATGTAATCTAACGCTAGATAGCTCGATGCATATTTCAGTATAATTGATGGTATGGATACTTTCCATTCGATTGCCAATACTCTTGGGATTGTTTGTTTGTTTGTTTTTTTCATTATATTTACTATTCAAATTTTCAGTTTCCTTAAAAAAATATCACATCTAACACTCATTTCACCTCAAAACATTAAAATGAAAATCAAAAAATTGTGAAAAAATAATTAAACACAAGCAGTATATTTGTATGCTAGGTGTGCTGCTTCTGAGGCCTTTTAAATTTTCTTGATTTTACACGCTTCGAAGTAAATACTGATTCACCCTAATTCCTTTTTTGGGCTATAATCTACAGTTTATTAAATCTGAGAAAATTTACCTGCAATTACACTTGTTATAAGAAAAAACTGTTATAAAGAACCTTAATTGTATTTTGTGCACTTCTATTTCTTTTCTATGTAACCAGATCCTTACATTGCCCAATTCTAGTTGGGCTCAGTGATCATCGTCTGCTGAATAACAACATAGACGTGAAACTGCTATGATTGAACTATCTGGTAAAAAATTTCCTTCTCAAATTGCAGGTTCCCGGGCTTCTAAAAGTACGATACATTGGACAAACAACACTGGGAAGTGCCGCTGTTTTCGGACTTTTTCTTGGAGCTGGAAGCTTGATTCATTGCGGCAAATCATATTAGGTTCATTTACTACATTCAGGTCAAGTTTAAGCAAACTTTTAGTCATTTTGAGAAGTTTCGGAATCGAATTATATTTATTTGTGTAGATGCTGCTCATTAATTTGGTTGGCCATTTCTGCTGAGGTTCGTGTTTTGCTTTTACATAACTAAGAATGCACCGTGGTTTGTTTTGAGGTCGTGCTGAAATAATATGCTTAAGATGACATTTCCTTCTGATTCAAAACACTTTATGTTCATAGAAATTTGAAGATTGCAATGCTATATTTTTAGATTTGGATGTCAATTTCAATGAGAGCTATTAGTTATGCGTGCATATTGTTGCCCCTTTTGACTAAAAACGAAATTATTTATCTTAGGATTTGGCCACCTCGACACTAAGAATGATATTGTCTCTTCCGAATCGGTATGAATTTGTTTCTGGACTTTTCCAAAAAGCTTGGTACTAGTGAAGTTATATTCGAGGTGGAATTTGGATTTGCATCCAATATAATCTTGATTTTATAATGCGTCTATATATATTAATTAGAGATATATTGGAAAGATATATTTTAAATTACTAGTTTGTTTCAAAACCAAAAAAAGTAAAATTGTGTTGTAACCTTCGTTGACATATAGTTCTAGCGCTTTCTATGGCTTATTATTATTATTATTATTATTTCCCATTTTTAGTCAAGAATATTATCTTTCAAATATAGGGTTTAATTGTTATTAAAAAATATGGGTATGCTCATTCGTGGGTTTTGAGTTTTGGATTTTGGGTTTATGAATAGTAAAAAGTTGAATTTGAATAGTTGTTTGATGTGTTATAAATAGATATCGAATTTGAATGTAAAATAAATTTGTAATATAATATAAAAAAAAATGAAATTTTTTGATTTGATATTTTTTTTAGGAAAGAAGAATTTAAATAGTAAAAGGCTGTGTTTAAATTCACAAAAGAAAACAATCATAGGGTTTAATTTACTTTTAGATTTACCATTATTATTATTTTCACTTTTTTCTGCTACCATGATTTATATATACATACCATATAAATATATTTTCAGCCCACAAAATTTATGCATATTTTTCTATGTTTGCTCACACAAAATATACATTCATTTATAGCAATAAAATAAAATAAAATCTTGTACTTACAATGGTGTGTTTGTTTGGGGGATTTTTTCAAATTATATTATTCATTAATTTTTTTTTTTAAAAAACAACAAATTAAACATCTAATTTTTTATTTTTTAATTATATTAAAAATCAATGTTATATTTAAAATATTATATTAACACCTATTATATGACATTATGACACGACTATTTGAATTCAAAATTTTTACTATTTAAATTCTAATTCAAAATCCAAACCCCTGAAAAAAGACACCTAGATTATGCTTTCAATTTTACATTTATTTATAATTTTATCATAATTAAAATTATACTATCTCCGTCCGGCTCTAAGGGTCTAATTGATCTTTAAATATTAATTATCATATAAAAATGAAGTACAAATTAACGGAAAAAGACATATTTTTATTAGTGTCTTATAATTGATATTTGTGCAAAAAATTATACAAATATAAAGATATTTTTAATGTTAAAGTACTTAAATGGACCCTTAGAGTCGGACAAAGTGAGTACTTTATATTCAAAATTTTCTTATATTGAAATATTCTTTTTACAAAATATTGTAGTACAAAATATTATATCCAACTAGCTATTTACATATGTTATATGTATATAGAGTGAGTTCATTTTGTTTTTTTTTTTTTTTTTTTTTTTAAGTGTATTTTTTATGTTAAATATGAAAAATTATATTGGTAATATAAAAGATAATAATTTATATTGAAGTATTAATTTTTTGTAAATATATTATACTCCCTCCGTCCAGCTAGAAAGTATACATATTTCTATTTTGGGACGTCTAATTACAAAGTAACCATTTCATTAAATACCCCATTTTTTCCACAAATACCCCTACTTTACATCACATCATTACTTTTATATCAAAAAAAATAAGACAAAAATGTCATTTTACTACTTTTACCTACACACTATAATTAAAATATTATTATTCTTTAATCTCCGCACCAAAAATAAAGGTATACTTTTAGCTTGGAGGGAGGGAATATATTGTATTATCGTGTGTGTGTGTGTGTGTGTGTATATATATATTATAATATTGGTAGGAAATTTGCTATTAAAAAATTTATAGGTTGGACAATCTATAAAGTCAGCTCACTAAATTAAACAAGGCTGAGGAAGATAGTTTGGTTGGTTCTCTTAATTTTTTGTCAAATAATTTCTCATAAATATTACTATCCTTATCCTTAACTAAAATATTATTTCTATTACTGTTATATTATGATACAAATGCAAAAAACAAATGGACTAATACCTCTTTTAGTTTTACATATGAAATATTATACATATATAAAAATATTTTTAAAGTTAAATACAATAATGTAAAAAATAAATAAATATTTTGTTAAAAAACCAAAAAAAGTATTTTAAGAAAACAATATATATACATTATTATAATATATATTTTATTAATTTATAAAAAACAACATTGAGCTGATATATCAATAATATAAAAATTAATTATTTTATATTGACTTATTAATTTTTGAGAAAACAAATATATGTACGTATGTACACACAAATAAAACAAATATGCATAGAACTGAGGATGTTTGTTGCTAGCATAACTTGCCTTATGAACTTAGTTGGTAAGTTATTAGAATTAGTTGAAAATTTATCGAAAATATACTAGAAGAATAGCAACTATAAATTAAAATACTTTTAAGTATATTTGTATTAGAGCTGTCAAAACGGGTTAATGGGGCGGATTGGCCCACAATTCACCATAACCCGCAAATAGACGGGTTGTTTGCGGGCCAACCCGCGACGGGGCGGATCAAAATTTCATCAACTCAATCCAATCCACCGGCGGGTGGCGAGCTAAGCGGACTAGCAAACGGGTTTTTTTTTTAAAAAATAATATTATAAATAATTTCGTAATTAATATTTAAAAATAGTTAAAAATAATTTTATTGTAAAATCTAAATAATAAATATTTTAAAATAAATAAAAAAATTTCAATTCTAAATAGTATTAGTTAGTGTGTTTAAAAAAATTAATAATAAGAAATATTTTACAAATAAATCATAATTAATTTTATGAAACTGTAGATTTTAAAATAAAAAAATATTATAAAATAATAAAATGGAAGGCGAATTTGTTGAAAAATCGAAATAAATAAAAGTGACAAAGTTAGAAAACAAAAGCAACGTGTAGACAATATTGATTAATTTATTTAAGCTAATTTTATTGTCTTAACTAAGAATATATCTTAGATTAAAAAGAATAATATATTATTTATTAAATAAAATGTACATGATGATTTTGATATTTTTTTCTCTTTGTACGGTTATTTATAAATTAATTGTATTTATAATGGTATATTTGGAATTTAAATAAAATTAAAATATATTCTGATATTAATATTTGATTACTTTTATTAAATTTTTTTAATATGACAGTAAAAAATACTTAAAAAGATATTTAGTTGATACAGGTCAATACTAATTATTATTTTTACTTCACCGCGGGCTAACGTGTCCCACTCTCAACCGACAACCCACATGGATTGGCCTATTTAGGCCCGCATTTTAACGGGCTTACAAAATCACAACCCAATCCTCCTAAAAAGTGCGGCGGGACGGGCCAACCGACAGGTTCAATCCATTTTGACGGCTCTAATTTATTATGATGTTAATATAAAAAAATTATTTAACATAACATATATTATTTGTATTTATACCGTTTAGTAACTGGCTTCATATCTATTTATACACTATTACTATTACTTAATTTATAGAAGATTATAAAAAAAATTATATATATAAAGTGGAGGAGATTAAAAAAAATACTTCCTCCGTCCTCCATTTTCCCGTCTCAAAATAAATATACCATTTCCTAATTTAGTAAACCTAACAATACCCAATAAAGATATTTTCGTCGTTTTTATTACAACCCAATATAATAATATTAAAAAATTTACCTAAAAAAACAAACATTACTCTTCGTATGGGAGGATAAAATGATATTGCAAATAAATTCTATTTAACATATATATATATATATATAAATTCTACAAAAAACAAACGTTTACTTGTCAGGTTTTACACCTGATTTTACTATTCAAACTTTTTTTTCCTCCAAAAATATTAAATCAAAACACCTAATTTTTATTTATTTTATTACACTGAAATCTAATTTTACATTCAAAATATCATATTTATTTCACATCAAACAACTATTTCAATTCAAAATTTTAATATTCAAAATCAAAATCAAAATCCAAAACTAAAACACACCCGCCGCCTAGACTCCAACAGCAAAACAAACAGACCAAACATTTGCTCTATAAGTGTCTGTTACTTCAACACTCGGAAATGCATGAGTATGATATAATCACAATTCACATCCATCCTTCATTTACACAAACCAAATCTCAACTAATATCACATCACATTCATCTATTCAAAACTAACATTAAACCACAAATCCCACAAATCAAAAGTCTCAATATGCTATTTAGTACAAATCTGAATATGCATTTTTCTTGCCTAAAAAACTAGAGCCAGGAAGGAAGAATTTACATTTCTTACCCTCAAACTCCGAGCGATCGGTGCAACAATCAATAACAAAGCATAGCAAGAGATGTAGGACTGCTAGTCGGCTAGAAAGCCCGGAAGATAGAAAAAAAATAATCTGGAGGTTTAGAGAATCCTCTCTACTAGATCTCGGCAACCATTGTCCCACACCGGCTACCAACCTGCTTAGTCAAATACCATTTGACGAACCGGAAGGAGAAAAACTCATATACATGAAATATGATCAGCTGCTGTCAATGTGCCAAGTCCTCGCTGGCTGTCCCGACACTGGACCTGTCAACCATCCGAACATTGTACTGTTCATACACTCTTGCTCGGTTCTCTGCCCACCATTGCTCTGCTTGCCTCTCGCTGAATCGCTTACGGCTGCAATCAACAATATCAAACATGGCTCATTTGGAATAATAGGATTAATTGTGATGAAGATAAGAGAATGATGTGGTCCAATGTATATACATGTTTGGTAAAAAATGAAACCTCTAGACGTATACTCCAAATATTTCTATACAGATTTAGGCATACTTAATAAAGACGTGCGTAAAAACCCTGTATATAAGGACAGTGCATATAATGCCTTGACTTATGAAGCTACAATGCATTGATTAGATACGAAAAAAGGAATTGAAATCAGATCTGTGCAAATTTGATATTTTCAAAGATGATTGTGACATTGAAATGTGGATCTGGAAACTATAGACACGTGCTGAATTGTTAAAATATTTGTAAATCTAGATCACACCCGATGCTCTAGATTGTATGTTGCTCTTATATAATGGCTACACGATTATATCCAAATATCTCGGAATGTATAAAGAATGTAGCCAAGATGCCGCAAAAAAAATAGTAGCGAATGCTGAATTTCAAAACAACATACCTGAAGCGCACTCTCTTCAAATCTTTCAGCCCTCCAGGTAAGGAGGTCAAAGTAATATAAACACCTGGCTCATCTTGCTCAACCCATTCATTTTCGTTACGAGGTTCCGTTTCTCTTGCTCTATTTCCATTTCTCATTGGTGTTTCTGCATAGCCTTGCCTGCTGCTACCCAAACTGCGATTGCTTGCAGTGCTGGACCCATTAGAAAGCAACAGGTTATTTGCCTCATTTGATTCCAGTTCTTGGCCATTTACTTGACCATTCATTTGATCGATCGAAGTATTGGTAACATCATTGGTTATTGAAGGTGGACCAAGTGATGTGAACGGAGGAGATTTGGTGCTTCTAGAAGAACCCACAGGAAGCCTTTCAGCCATTTCCTTCAGCTACAGCACAAAATATGACATCCCAAAAAGGAGTACCATATGGTTAGATAGCATCATACAAACCCATTGGAGTGCACAGATTTCAGTGTCACATGAGACTATCAAACTAAATAAACTACACGAGCATTGACTCCAATTAGTATCTGATACCATGTTACACTTCCCACCTTGTCATTGGAAGCTGGGAAATACAACGCAGAGCCAGAAATGCTATATAGCCAAGTATTCAGGGGCAGACTAAATGGGATGGCAACTGGCACGCGTATTCTATTAGCTTTTATTATAATTAGATTGCAAATGCCTTTAACTTTAAGCGGTTACCCTCTTCTTGATTTGATTCAACAATATATATGTATATACTAGTGAATATGGAAAAACAGAAGGAAAATTTACAGAGCAATATCGAAGATGTTTCATGTTGGCTATTAAAAAATGTTGACAAATAATCAGTGGTAGTAAGAATATAAAGGCCAAAGCATAACGATAGAAGAGCATAATGAATCTCCCACCTAAAGCAATAAAACATAACCATCAAGAATTATGAGATTTAATCGAGCATACATACAAAATGAGTAAAGAAAATCAACATTCAAAACAGAAGATCCAATCTGAAACTCTCAATAATATGATTACTGAAGACAATCTGTAATGAACTTGATTTTATGTTGTTACATAGCGAGTGGTATGCTTAATAACAGAATATGTTGGTTAATATTTCTCTTCAAGATGATCAGATTTGAACCCCAAGTTTATCCATTAAGCTTTCAAATCATCTTCAAATTATAATTTAGGATCTACTTGCCCTATTGTCCTAGATAAAGCTAAAACAATCGTAAAAGTTATATAGCTGTATTGCGCACTGGATTACATAATTGATTCCACATGTTGTTAAAGACAACAGGGTGTGCATAGGGATTTTGCTTACTTGTGCAGTCAGCGATTTAATGACTTCCTTTGCAGCTTTGCATTTCGCTGTCTCCTCCCCAGCAATCGCTATTGCCTCCTTCAGCTGCTTAGTTGTTCTTTCTAGTTCTGCTTCCTGAAGTCGACCTTTGCTAGTAAGATTTTCCACCTATATAAAAGAACGGGTGATCAAGTTTGCATATAACCAACTCAAAGGCATAGAGAAAACACGGGATCAGGTTCCGGTACAACTAAACCAAAAACATATTCCAAAGTCCACACGCATGCCTCCTACAATGGCAGAGGAAACAAAACTTCTTTTTTGAAATATATGTGATTGGACTTCTCCATCAATCATTATGGCTCTGACAGCTCAAGCGTGAGACTGAAGTTTGCATTAAAGGGCACTCAAGGTAATTGTGAATCATATATATTAAACTCTCTGCAAGATAAAATATGGTGTAAAAAGAGTAAAAATAAAAAGATAGCAGGGCAGGAACAGATATAAAAACTCCGGTAGAATATCCTACCTGTGCTCTTAATCTAACAACCTCTTGACTCAGAGTATCATGAGCCATCTTCACATCATCCAGAAGAATCTTAGGTGATGTAAGTCCTCCCAAGGTGGGAGTTGGTGTAGTTGATCGTGGAGGACTAGCTCGTCTGGATACTGGAGATGTTGCTCGAGAAACAATTCTTGATCCAGGAACTGAAGCAGAGAAGAATTTTTTAGATGATCCAAATACAGGATTTAAAGACTTCGAGATATTAAGGGCCCCCCACTGAGAGTTTCCATTGGGGATTGGAGATACACGGCTGCTGTTAAGTTCCAGTTTTTTGTTCTTCTTGGTGCGATTCTCCCCTTGTTTATAGGATTCCATTGAAGGGAATCTAACTAGATTTTGATGAGATCTTGTATCCAACTTCTCATCCTTGTCCATGATGTCATTCATCCCTCGATTAACACCTCCTCTTCTACTCACAGATGAATGAGATGATGAATCAGTCTCCATAGCTTTTTTCAATTTATTGAAACAGTTATCACAAACCCGGTATGATTTATTGGGATTCGGTGCCATGGAAGCCCTCAAAGACTTCTTACTGGTACAAGAATGACAAAAAACAAGGCCACAATTGTAACAGTTGTGACGTTTCCTTTTGAAGTTAAAGGGTAGACGGCAGCCAGAACACATGGACTGATCAACACCTGATACCCACTTATGCAGACAGATAGCTGCAGTGAAATTGGTACCGCAAGCAATACTCTTTACTTGCTTGTCTTTAAGAGCTTCAACTAAAGTTGGAAAATTTCTGTCATCTGTATCCCCATGCCCTAATCTACCATTTGCCCCCTTCCCCCATGTATACACTTCAGTTCGGGAAGTCAAGACAGCCACATGATAGGCACCGCAAGCTATCTCTTCCACAAAATTCTTCCCAAGTTTTCCCTCAACGCGAGATGGAAGCTTCCCATCAGTTTGAGGCGTTCCTAGCTGCCCGTAAACTGGACTTCCCATGGTGTATACATGTCCAGAGGTTGTAAGAGCCACTGTGAGGCTGTGTCCACAAGCAACTTGGCAAAAACTTGGTTCTACAAGAGCAGCAACACAGGTTGGAACAAGTTTTGATTCCTTATCACCATGCCCAAGGCGACCTTTGTCACCATCTCCCCATGTAAAAAGTTTACCTGAAGAAAGGTTACTGGCACTTGAGTTTCCAACCATAACTTCGACAATTGCAGCAGTATGCCAAGCACCACAGGAAGCTCGTACAGTGCGGAGACCCTTCAGGGATTCCACTTCTTTCGGCTTTAAAATGCTTCGCCTATCTCCATGACCAAGAACCCCAAAAGTTCCATCACCAAAAGTAAACAGCTGCCCAGCAGAGGTCACAACAGCTGTATGCCAAGGTCCACAGGCAATCGAAGAAACATGTATCCCCTCGAGTGGCCCATTCACTCTTTTTGGCACCCAATGACTCACTTCATTACCATGCCCAAGAATGCCGAAATGACCATCACCCCATGTGTAGAGATCACCAGAGAGGGTGACAGCACAGGAATGATATTCACCACATGCAACAAGCTCAATGTTGGTATTGCTGAGTGCATCGATCAGCTTTGGTTGCATGACATCAGCATCAACACCATGACCAAGCCGCCCTCCTGATTCCTCACCCCAAGAAAATATTTCTCCTTGCTTGGTCACAAGAGCAGCATGTCGTCCACCACATGCTATGTTCTGAACATCCAATACAACTGCAGATTCTAGGGCCTTGGGTAGCAAGGCATCCATTTTGACACCAAAACTACTTCCATTTCTGTGTGGTCCACCACCCATAACACCATCACCGAAGCCTTCTCCCCAGATGAAAACATCTCCAAGAGCATCACCATCGTCATGACCAGATCCTTGACTTGATGAGCTTACAGCACTAGAAAGGCTTACTCGGAAAGCATCAACTCCCGTCCCTTTCATGTGACCATGGAAGCCATCAGAACCGCCAGACGACACAGAAAGGACAGAAGCACTAGTTGAATCTGAGGGGAAGAAACTTTTTGGAGGCACAGCATACAATATCACATCTGAGAATGCCTTTTCCATGCCATTCTTAGGAGGACTTCCATAAGGGCTGCGGAGGCGAAGTTGATCGGCGCCATCCTGATTGAGTTATGAAAGATAATAGTCCAAGTTACAATTATTGCAAAATTTAAAAGCCTATGAAAGGTTCATTTCTGGTAAGAGGAAGCATATGAATACAGGTGAGTGGAGAAATATCAAAGTACTAAACCTTCATTGTGCCATCGCCAACACCAAATGGGGAGTGCAATGGTGAACTCCTTCTTGTGTATGTTCTGGGACTAGTGGCTCCCGATGATATTCCATCACTCTTTGTATCTGCTCTCCACTTGCGCTGATGACTTCGCGAAATCAATGCCTTAAGGCCGCTAAACCACACTTCTGCTTCTTCTTTATCCTTGCATATCTACCAAAAGAAGAGATCAAGTTCCAGTAAGTCAAAAATAAAATATGGAGCTGACGAATACAAATAACTTTAAGATGATAAAGAACCCTTACCAAATCAAGTGACCTGTCATTGTATATAAGAGAAAATGATTGATATTCCTTCTCTGGTCGCGGATACCTTTGAAAAATTGGCTAGACCAGGAAACAAAACAGATCAAACATATTCTGAACCGTATATTAAGAAGCAAGGAAAAATGTGAGCCAACACTGAACAAGAAATTTATGCTCAGGCTTACTAAATTTCCTGATTATTATTAATATTGTTATTATTATTATTTTCAGAAAAACAAGATAAAAAGTTCCCATACAGCAGAAACCCATGGTTTTCACAGATTGATTTTAAAATAGATCCAATCAACTGTAAGACTAGTCAAACAGGTATCTCAAGTAGAAGTCAGTAGAGAGAGGAAAATAGCTTTAATAATTGAAAAAGTCAAACTTTAAATGGAAATAGATATTCGTGCAATACCATCTATAAGCTATCCCATGATTAACCAGATTTGCATAATCCATCAGAAAATTCTTTCGCTCACAACCAGGAGACAGTAATGGCAGAGATATTTGGTAATAATATTTGATCAATTTTGGAAGTTGATTACAGATTTAGAATTCCGAAATTAAATAAACCGTTCATTTAGTTTGAAAAGATTGACCAATCTTTGCAATATAATCACAAGAGGCATTATTGACTTTTGTTGTAGGGGTGGTGGGGGTGATGTGGAAGGTTAATTGCAAGAATTTCATACTAGAGCCATACGCGCCACAAACGAAGATATAAGACAATTATAGAATCTAAAGATCATTAACAGAAAATTGTTGGTGCACTATCAGCATAAAAGGTAGAACAATGGAAATTAACTAGCCTGCAGTAGTTAATGAAGTCACAAACAAAAAAAATGCAGAGCTATATTCAAATGCAGATATATAAGCCACATGCACATCAGACACTGTACCAGAATAACTATTTTCAGAATTTTAATATGCTGCACAAGCAGTGAATTTCCAGAAAATCCACATAACTCATAACAACATAAAAATGGAAAATGGTCTTTGGAGTAGTAAACTTACAGTCCTCTGCCCAGATATAATTCTGGAGACATGACTAAGTTTAAGATGCTTCTCTTCTTTACCTGAGAACCATATGAGAACAGACTCATCCTGAAACCAAGAATAATATCTATAAGATTGCTTCTCAAGTGTTCACATGAGAACAATAACAAAGAGACTGATGCCCACTGCCATTAAAGCAGAGTCACAGAATAACAGAATCAATATAGGACAAGAACATATTCAACCAACATTTCATAAGCTGGCATCAGATACATCACATCAAAAATGTTTAATGATCACCTCCTCTAAAATTTCAGAATTGACGAGTTTCATCATTTTGATATTTGTTTGCTCTCATATATCCCCTTTGATTGGATAAAGAATACATTCTATGTTACTTGGATTTTGATATTGGATCTTACCTTTACTCACAAAATAATCTGTTGATGAGTGAGTAAAGGTAAGATCCAATATCAAGATATGTTACTTGGAATCGTTTTGAAAAGATGTCTAGTTATACCCCCTATAAAAGTTTAAGACATTAGCTATGTATGTCAATAAATATTAAGTATTCTTAACAGTTATTGAACATGTTCAGCAAATGTAAGAAAAGCTGTCTGACTACTAATGGAAGAAAGTCAATTTAAGTGCATGGTGCTCAAAACAGAATGCTGACCCACTAAGCAAAATTAAAACCAAGCCATCCAAATCTCCTGTGCTATGAACAGTATTGTAATTTGCAAAGAGGCTTTCATAACTGGCGCATGAGGCACTACTACTAAATACCTGTAGGATCGATTAATCATCAGGCTGTAAAGCATGCCAGTATAAATAACAAGACCAATCTTGGATAATAATATGGTAATAAGATGATTTACAATTGTGGTGATAATGATAAATTCCATGTGAGTGCATTCCAAGCTCTATTTATGCATGTAAGTTGGAAAGACAGTTAAAAAACGAAAAAAGACAATGTACCAAGATTTTTATGGGCTTACATTGGCCAGACGGAATGGACAAAATTTAGGCTTTCCTCGCCTTCCATACTTCAGTAAGTACGCACCTTTCTTTAGAGCAGTGATGGCCTATTGTAATGATCAGTGAAGGTCATAAAATATATGTTCCCATAGATCAGGTCTAATCCAACAACATACTGGAACTATAAGCAGCAAACAAGAAAATAAAAAGCTTGGCTTCACATTAAATCAATCAAAATAAATCCCAGAGCAAGACAAGCACAAGAAAGAGTCCTAAATTTGGATTCACAATTAACTGCAGCAGAGTTATACATAGCAATAATTTCATAAAGCTTAAACCATTGACAACAAAATGATAAACTTGAGAGGCATGATGACTAATAACAAAATCAAGAACAAATAAAATCCAAAGTTGGTTTGCTTAAATTTGAAAAAGAATAAAGAGCTCGGCCATCCCTTCTGAAGCTACATGGACTTTGTTAGAAGCCATGCAGCAGGTTGTTGCAGCCAATAAAGAAAATGAATATTTAACATGTCTTGAAACTGAAAATATGAAAAAGAGATGATAAGGTAGTATGTGGTAATACCTTGGACCAAACACTTGGATATGAAATTCTGCAGAAATTTAGATCAATTCAAGACAGGGATACACTAACTTGAGCACATTGGTATAAGTACAGTAAAAATACAAGCATGAAATTTGTGAACATTCTTTCAGATTCTTGGCATGTTTTATCTTGGTTTACCTGTTTTGGATAGTCAAAACTCCATTCTAGCAGTGAAGACAATAGCCAATGTTTTTCATTTTTAATCAGATTAAATAGATAACATGACCTAATTTACATGGAAGCAAGCCTAAATATGGTACCAGGTTGATAATAGCGAGTATATGGAAATAATAATAAATGGAAACGTGTGCATAGGCATTTGACAGAAAAGAACAAAATTAAATGGACCAGACGTCAGCAAAAGAAGTTTGTGTAATCAAACAGAAAGTATTTAAGGAAACTTTTCTGAGATTCTAAAGAACTGGTCAATTAATTAAGAACCCCGGTGGCAGATCCTAGAATCTTAGTATAAATAAAGGTCACACAATCTCAGGTACATTGTACACGTGTCTCAATCCTCTCGTTGCTAATGCCACGCTCTAGAATATAATCCTAAATATCAGATCCTGGTGATAAATCTAGTCATAAATCCAAATGGAAGTTTCTGAAACAAGTCACATTGTCGATCGAAGCTAGAGATATCCTTTTTCAGTAGTTAATGCCGTTGTTTGCAACTTAATTTCCATTTTTTAAAGCCTTTGACAGAGAAAAGTCAATGCATCTAAAGTTCAAGCAATGCAGAACTAGAATTTTATTTGGAAAGCTACATCTACATTCTCGTATAGAGATCCCACAGACATTATCATTCACACCACTCCAGTCCACCACCACCCCACTGAGCACACCAAATTCACAATGTGTACACTAATCAGCATTTTCCAACAAGTTAAACTCAATATTTTTCAACAAGGAAAGCATTAAGCATACTCGCCAAGTCACAATTCACAAATCAAATCAAATTGAAATGAAATCAATAAAGCAAACAATGCTTCAGCATTAAAAACTCATCGCCAAACAGTTAGCAAAAAACCTAACAGAACCAAAAAAAACTATTTGCACAAAATCAACAAACAATAAAAACACTAATTACTCAATCCAAAGTCCATCACAATCCACATGTAATCCAAAGCAACTCATACCTGCTCGATGTCTCTCTCGACTGTCCCACCGCCTCTACCGACGTCGGAGCTGCTCATCCTATCGCCGCTCCCTGACATCAGAAAACAAATCCCCAACAAGCCCTAGCTCCAAACCCCCCATCCAACACACACCACCACCCCGCTCCCAATTGCAATCGGCTCCAGTTCCTGCAAAACCGCGTGACCCCCCAACCTCACACCTCCCCACGATTACACCAACAGCAAAAGAGCAGCGTAATTTCAAGAGGCGATTGAAACCAGCGCAAGGGTATCGAGATCAGCAGAAACCGAAGCGAGGATCAGCCAATGGCAGTCGTTGATCTGAGAATGAGTAGTTGATCGAGCAGCGGAAAACGCCCCAACCAAGCAGTGTGGCTGCTTGCTCCCTCTCCACTCCAGTGAAGAAAAGTGTGGACTACTGCCACTGCTGCACTGCCTGCCTGGTTCCTTCTCGACTTCAATTTCAATTTGCAATTTCCTTTTCACTTACTATATACAAAAGACACAAGATTGGAAATATGAATGATGCTGTGCCTGTGAATGTAATAAATATTATAAATATGGAAATTGAGAATATATACTCTCTATCTTATCCCTATGTTCGAGCTAATTTGTTGCGTTGAAATAAGAGTTGTAGCTAAATAATTAAAAAATATATTATAAAAAATTATTATAAGTATAATATAAATAATTATAAATTAAAATTAAAAACAATTAAATAATTTAATTAAAATAAAAAAATATAAATTATAAATTTTAAAATATAATTAAAATATATAAAAAAATTAATTTATGTAATACAAACGCATAGAAAAACGATCAAGAGGAAGAGATATGAAAAGAGTAAATAAATTATAAATTTATAATTTATAAATTATAAAATTTTCACTTTGCTTGCTTAAACTAAAAACTAAAAATTGTTTCTATATTGTAAAAATAATTTTATTTTAAAAATATATATTTTTTTTTTCTAAACTTTATATAATATTATAAATAATGATATTAGAAAAAATTGAAAATAAAACTATCTTTTTGTCTGGTGTCCGTAAAATTAGTCCATTTTTTTTCTTTTGGCTGTCTGCAAAATTAGTCAGTTTTTAAATATAGTAATAATTAGTAAATACTAATTAAAATTACAAATATAATTATGTTTTATTCAATTACTAATACCCCTTACTTTTATTGTTTGTCTTATTGTAAATTTAAAAATAGGGCTAGAATTTTGAATAATAAAAATTAATAAATATTCAATATGATATAAATAAGTGTTTATGTAATGTCTAAACTTTTTAATTAATTTTTAATATAATATAAAAAATATTTGATTTGATATTTTACGATTGAAAATTAGTTAGTAATGAGGTTTGATTTAGAATTTAATTTTTATATTTCATTAAAAAAATTCATTCATCACTACTATTATTAAGAGTGAAAAATATCAATTTGCTCAAATAATGCAAGTACCATATGAAAAAAATACTAAAGTGTCCAAATTATTGTATATCGTAAATTTTTATATGGTATGATACCGTACCGAACATTTTCAATACGACAATTACATATACTTTTAGCATTGTTGGTATAATATTTACCGAAAATATCAATACAGTTTGATATTTTAGTATTTGATATATCGGTCTATATCAATAATTTAATATATTATACTAAAATATTTAATTTTCTAATATATTCTTAAAATTATAAAATTATTTTTAATTTTTATATTTTAGCGTAAAATATTATATTCTGATACCATACATGTAATTCGATTAGAAATGACTCGAAACTGTATTCAGATAATACCGAACCATATTGTATACCGCACCGAATTTTGTGGTATATTAAAAAAAATATCGATACCATACAAAAAAAGTTCGGTATACCGAAATTTGCATTTTCGGTATTTTTTAGTACGGTATGTGTTATTTCTGTAATTCAGTATTTTTTCATCTATCAATTCGGTATATCAAATTATTGGTACAATATCTCATTACGATAAAATAGCATAATAAAAATTTTGGTACGATATATAAAATATGCATTATAAATTTTGGTATGTGATATCGAACTATCCCTACCAACAATCAAATTCGAAAACTTTGATGTTTTGTTTATATTAAAAATTTTAGTATTACGGCCGTTATTTTTGTATTTAAATTATTACCGTAGACACTAAAAATATATGTCTAAATTAAATTGAATATCATGTATTTTGTAAGAAAATAAAACTCCAATAAAATAAATATATGGTATTTATTATGCACATATGTTAATTTTTGTACAATAAATATCAACCATTAATGCAAAAATCTGCTTAAAATGAAAGATATCGTACAAATATTACGTGCATAAATAGGATCATAATGAATTTGGCAGCAAAATAAATAAATCTTGTTAATAAAGGAAGTATTATAATTAATATCTTTCGAAAAAGACAATGATATAAAGATCTTGGCGAGAAAAAAAGGCGCACAATCAAATCATTCAAGAATGAAAAATAGCATCTCATGAAAAATGAAAGATTATAAAATCTTTCTATTGGCCAATCAGGACGCGTCACGTGGCATCATTCAAAAAGAAAGCCAAGATCACCCTCTATAAATAGGAGGTATGGTCAATTCATTTGAGACACCGAAGTTACATCGAGGATTCAAGCAAAGGGGTAAGTCTCTAGATTCTCTCTGTATTGTTCTCCATGTTCTTCGTGTCCTTCGAAATGTTCTTCGTCGAAAGTCACTGATTTGGACAAATGATCCAATATTGGTTGACGAATCGATGAAGTTAACGTCCTTCGTCGTATGCTCAAGCTGGAGGAAGGATGAAAGCTCCAAAGTTGTTGAGGAATTCGTCAAAGCCAAGGGAAGGTCTCCAAAGTTCCTCTCAAAGCTTCGAGGTGTTTATCGTGTTCTTCACCAAAGCATTGACCAGGCCTTTTTCGATCCAAAAGTCAAAGGGACACGTTACCAAAAGTGTTATGGAGCACCAAATCCACCTCTTCAAGCATCAAAGCTCCAAAAAGCCATTGAAGAATCCATTAAAGCCAGGGAAGAACATTCAAAGTTCATCCCAAAGCTTCGAGGTGTTCATCGCGTTCTTCACTAAAGCATCAACTCGGCCCTCTTCGATCCAAAAATCAAAGAGACACGCTGCCAAAAGTGTTATGGAGCACCAAATCCACCTTCTCAAAAATGAAAGCCGCAGATCATCCAAAGAAGACATTAAATCCAAAGCTGGGGATCAAATCGCCTCCCACGGAGACCAAAGCCCTCCGAAAGGCGGCAAAGTCAAACCAAAGATCAAAGTCGCGGATCGTCCAAAGAAGACATTACATCCAAAGCCAATGATCAAATCGCCCACACGGACACCAAAGCTCTCCAAATGGGGAAAAAGGCAAACCAATGATCAAAGCCGCGGATCGTCCAAAGAAGACATCAAATCCAAAGTCGACGATCAAATCGCCCACACGGAGACCGAAGCTCTCCAAAAGGCGGAAAAGGCAAGCCATAAAGCCGCGGATCGTCCAAAGAAGATATCAAATCCAAAGCCGACGATCGAATCGCCCACACGGAGACCCAAGCTCTTCAAAAGGCGGAAAAGACAAACCAAATATCAAACCCACGGATCGTCCAAAGAAGACTTCAAATCCAAAGCCGACGATCGAATCGCCCACAAGGAGACCAAAGCTCTCCAAAAGGCAGCAAAGTCAAATAAAAGATTAAAGACGCGAATCGTCCAAAGAAGACATCAAATCCAAAGCCAACAATCAAATCGTCCTCACGGAGACTAAAGCTCTCCAAAAGGCGGAAAAGACAAACCAAAGATCAAAGCCGCGGATCGTCCAAAGAAGACATCAAATCCAAAGCTCACGATCAAATCGATCACACGGAGACCAAACCTCTCCAAAGGGCAGCAAAGCCAAATCAAAGATCAAAGCTTGAATCGTCTAAAAAAGACATTAAATCCAAAGTCGATGATCAAATCGCTTACACGGAGACCAAAACTCTTCAAAAGGCGGCAAAGCCAAATCAAAGATCAAAGTCTCGGATCGTCCAAAGAGGACATCAAATCCAAAGCCGACGATCAAATCACCTGCACGGAGACCACTCCAAAGGCCGGCAAAATCAAACCGAAGGCCAAATTTCTTCGGATCAAAGAAGCCATCGAAAACCAAGTTGGAAAACAAATTGACCCGAAAGGAGAATGAAATGACTCATTTAGAGAATATGATCCTCTTTAAATCCAAACCAAATATAATTTGTACAAATTTTGTATTTATTTAAAATAACACAATTTTTTGTCAAACAATTACAATTAATTTTTTTTTTTTTATCTAATTGCATAATTTACAATCAATATAATAATATTTTTTAAAAACAAAACAATTTTAATAAATAAAACATTAAATTTAAATAAAATAAAATAAAATAAATATTTCAATTTTTATTTCAATATTTTATCAAATAAAAATAGTTAAAATAATATTTATTAAATATATTACATTAACTAATCATATTAATTTCTTAAACCAAATTTTTTTAAATTATGCGCCAAAAAGAAACACGACTAATTTTGTGGGACGGAGAGAGTATTATGTAGTATAAAGTACTATTCTCTGCGTCATCCAATATACAAAATAATTTATATTAAAATTAAAATGACTAAATAGTTTAGTTAAAATAAAAATAATTATAAATTATGAATTTTGCAATGTGATTAAAGTATATTTTTTTTTAAAAAGAATGACAACTTTTGTGGATAAACGAAAATAAAAAGAATGACAAATTAAGTGAAACCGAGACAATAATATTCTAAAATTCACAGTAAAAAAATACTATTTGATTGTTTTTTTTCTTTCTCTACCTTTGTATTATGTAAAATATAAAGAATTGTATGGATAATAATTTAATCTTTTTATTTTTGTATGTATTATTCATATTTTTTTTCTCTAAAAATTTTAAAAACAAAATATATTACAAAAATTAAATTTTGTGTAAATATACGATATCAAATTTTTTTTTTTGTATTATATTAAAAAAGTATTTTTTTTAATTATGATATTCTATTTTGTTTTTGTATGTATTAATCATGTTTTTTTTTTAATGTTTGTTTGGTTGTAATTTGAAATTAATTTGAAATAAAGGTGTTGTTTAAATTTTTGTTTAAATAGTATTTTGATGTGATATTTTGTTAGAAAAATGTATATTTATTAAAAATTATGTCAAACAAATAATATTAATTTTGGTTTTTTTTTTGGATTTTATCACAAATTTTTACTATTTATTCCTAGAAAAATATCACATCAAATAATTATTTTTCTTTTTATCTTATACTACAAATTTAATTTACGTTCAAAATATCATATCAACATCTATTTATATCATATTAAACAACTATTCAAACTCAACTTTATACTATTCAAAAATCTAAATCAAAAAACTAAAACCCACAAACAAACACAATTTTTATGGTTAATTATTGAAAAATATGTTATTTAAATATTTATTTTTGTTATTTCTTTTACATATT